TCAGCTAAAAATGTATAACTTGTACCAAATGGTCATTTTGACTGGAAATGTTATAAATGAAGGGCGGTATCTGACTTTTGTATAGTACTGTAAGTGTGGTAGCACACACTAAAATGTCAAATGCTAACTTCTTATGTTCCACAGTGGGCTCAAGCATGGTCTGGTCTGTCAGAGTGTCACAGTTTTTATTATTTTTTATTGTATTGTTTTCATTAGCAAAGGCTATGAAATGATAGATCATCAGCTTTAATTTGGGTCAATGTATTTTCATATTGGGCGAATCATGTAGGAATTACATCCATTTTTTATGTGTAGTTCTTGTATAAGTAAATGAACAGTAAGATCCTAAGTTGTTTTTTGTCCAGATATGTTTGTTCATGCACAAAAAGGCTAACAAATATCTGTTGCAAATATATGTTGCATTCACATCTGAAGCCAGTTGCTGTTGCTTCTCAACATGAGCACAAAGCAGTAAAGCAGGCTGTCACAAGGCTGCAAAATAATAAGAAATCAATGAGAAATGTGACCAAAACATTTGATACCCTTTTCACCCATTGAAGAGATTAAGAGCACTCTATGAGATCTAAGGAATGATGTAACCAAGGGTACCATAAAAAGAGTAACATATCTGGCAACATTAGAGGTTTCAACACAAAATGCAAACCAAAGGTAAGCCTTCAAACAGAAAGGCCAGTGTATAATTTGCTAAAGTACTTAGAAAATCTTGGAGAGTAATGAAACATGCTTACTAGGGACACCATTTTTGGGACAGCCAAGAAAAAAGAATAACCAGAGTCAAAATAAATTAGGAAAATGTGATGGAAGAAAATGTTAAAAAATCACATCATCTGAGAAACATGGTGGAGGTAGTGTCATAGCTTAGACACATATAGCTGCTCTTCATTGGCTGTGTGACCGCAAATGCAAGATTTCTATGAGGTCAATCACCCAGGAGGATTCCTGTTAAGCATACATGTAACTGCAGAAGAAGGGACAGCAGAAAATATTAATAACTTACATTAAATGATCAAGGATAAGAAGGGTGGTCTTCGACTTTTTCACAGTGCTGTATGTGTGTGATTGTGTGTGTTTGTGGCTTGTCTCGTACAATGAGATCACTCTTTCGGCCCTGTTTGTTTATTTCCTCTCAGCGTTGAGACAGTCTATCTGGTGTACAGAAGGAAATCAGCATCATAATACACAGACACAAAGAAACACAGGAGCAGCAGGGTAAACTCATCTTGGCTGCTCTGGGAGTCATCAGCTGAGGAAATCAATATAACACGCACTGAAAAGTTCCTCAGGCATTTAGACGATGTGAGAAGACCAGCTGACGACTTCAGTAAATGTCAGAGACGACTGGAGGTGTTTGTAATTAAATATAATATTTGCCCATCATTAAGATAATCTGGTTTCAATTTAATACAAGTATAATTTGTAAAACTGTGTGGACAAACACTCAGTCAAACACTCAGTCAATGTTTTTTCTATAGTCACATATATTAATAGCAAGCCTCCCTTTGCTGTAACAGTCTCTCTTCTGGGAAGGCTTCTGCTCTTCTGGGAAGGCTTTACACTATGTGTTGGAAGATTGCTGTGAGGATCTGATTGCATTCATACTGATATTGGATTATTAGCTCTGGATCACTCCAGTTCATCCCAGTAAGTATTGGATGGAGCTCCAACACTCAAGAGAACAAAGTTCCACTGCTCCACAGTGCAATGCTGGGGGTCTTTATAGTCTCTAGCTGACACTTGGCATTGGGCATGGTGACCTTAGGCTCATGTGCAGAGCATCCAGTTCTGTTGGTCACTACTTTTCTATGAAGATTATACAGCCTTCGCATGTAAAATAGAACACCTGTATCAGCAATTTGAAAGGGTGTTTGAATGTTTTTACTGTATGTGATTTAGGAGGTGCACTGAAAACAAAGTTAAAAGTTATAGTTAATTATGAAAATGATTTAAAGTTAATTTTGAATTTAATTACAGAAATTATTTACAGTTAATTCAGTCAGTTACCCTAACAGTTTCCCAATCCCACGTTAAGCTTAAGCCTAGACTAAAAGGATTTCCAATGTTGAATCACCATCAGAACTGCAATTTATTCCAAGATTAGTATGTACAGACTAATATGTACATTTTCCAACCTCTCTTTATCCCTTAGGATTTAACAAGCTGTTCTGCCTTTAAACTGACATGTATACCTGAGCTCTGCTCTGATTAGCTGCCCTATACTGTGCCTCATTTAGAAAGCAATCCAGGCTGAAACGTTCCTTATAACTTCAGCATGAATGGGCGGAGCTAAACTGCTGTAGGCTGAATAGGTAGATGTGTGTGAATGAGTCGGTCTTCATGACATCACTAGAACAATGAATTGTAAATAAACTGTTTTTGCAGCTTGCTTGTGTAAGCTGTGTGGACTGGGCAGTGAGCAAAGAGAGTATACATACTACATTTTCCAAAAATTTGGTTTGAGGCAGGTTTACACTGTGCAATAACTGTCATAATAGCAGAGAAAAATCATTTGATCTTAGCTTAAAATCGATAGTCTTTGAATATTTAATTTGACATGCCTCACATCGACTGACCACAGCAAAAACTTTATTGCTTATAAGTTTTACAATATTTACTTAAGTTGTGAGTCTGGCCAGCCTTCAGTTCACATATATTGTGACCTCTAGTGAAATAGCTACCACTTAGTGGACAAAAAAATGAGCCTACTAACATCAAGTTCACTTTAGAGAATATGTATTCCCTATAGGCCTGTTCCCCCAGCCAAGAACAGCTCCACCTTCTCCTTCTTAACCCTTATATTTTTGCTTGCAAGGCTCTATTTTTCAGCAAAAAAAAGAAAACGCGTGCAGATTGTCATAATTTTCTTGCATCGTAAATCTACTGGCAGAGAGTCTTCATTGTATAAATTGACATGCAGCATAACTGAATTCACACAATCTGACGTGAAGTTCGGCCAAGATTTTATTTGCAGCATCTTGTGTGGTGTAACATACAATAACCATATAAGACCTGAGTAGTTATTATGATCTCTTTTTGCAGGCTTTACACTGATACGGGCCTTTCAACCCCCTTCTGACTCATTTCTGAGTGTTTTGTAATTTGTTTTAATAAGTATCACAGGTAAAAGATCAGAAATATGAAACTAGTAAATGACATGACAATCTAAAAAGACAGTACAATGTAGAAGATCTAATCCAAGGCCAAAAAAATGTTTTTTACAAGGTGCCATGTGCAACTCATATATATTTTATAGTTCCACAGTTAAGGAGAACTTACCAGTAAATCCCACACATAGCTGTTTAACACTGTATCACACTTGCACAAAAAAACACATCTGATAAAAACTACGGTAACACTTTCTATGAATGTCACATTTGTAAGCATCTATAAACACATTTATAACATGTTATAATGTATTCATAAGGCATTATAAACATGGTTATAAATATTTGTAAAAAACAATTACACTGAATTACACTTTATAGCCATGTTTATTATAGATTATGAATTGTTAATATAATGCATTATAAATAGTGTTAATAACATGTTATAATGTCAGTGCCAAAGAAGTCAGTCTCAGCTTGGAGAGCGTAAAGTAAAGACAAATACCAAGCTAACGGTGGTGTACACTACCTTTCCCATGTTGTGTAAAGCACTGATGGCAGCACTAATTTAAACTCTGACATTTGAAGCCTGTAATGTGCTTTATTGTGTATGTTTTAGTGTTTCAGTAAATCCTTCAGTAAATACTTCAACTTGAAGCCTCACTCTTAACACTGGAGGAGGCTTTAGTACAGTACGCTTCACTTTACTTAGAGCGGACAAATACGACTTATGAGCTCTTATAATTTGTTATGATCAGTACTTATAATGCATTATGTTAACAATTCATAATGCATAATAAACATGGCTATAATGTATAATGCATTTTTATAAATATTTATAGCTATGTTTATAATGTCTTATGAATGCATTATAACATGTTATGAATGTGTTTATAGATGCTTACAAAGGTGACATTCATAGAAAGTGTTACCGAAACTACTGGAAAAAAAAGTATTTAAAACATAATACCACAACATTTGCAGTACATTATAGATGAAAAGCTCTATCAGCAGAGCGATCTAAAGCACGGGTAAGTATGTTGCTGGTGATCTACTGACCTGGAGAGTTTAGTTCCAGGACTACTCCGACCCAAGTTATTCAGAAGCATCTTAACATTGGAGTGTTAAAATTAAACTCTCCAGGATGGTAAATCTTCAGGACTAGATACAGGCTCATTGATTTGAAGGGTTAAACCAGCATTCCCACATCAATGTAATCTCTTTCTGCCTCATCTGTAATACACAGTTAATTACCATAAATACTGCTTCTGATACGTTTTACTGTAAGCCCATTGAAGCAAAACATGCTTCTACTGCAAGACAGTGGGAAACTGCACTGTTCAGTGAATCAACATGTGAAATATGTGATTTTTTAACACTGAGCAACAAAGTAAAGATGAAATGTGTTCTGATATCCATGTCGATATGGAAATGAAATAAATGAAGGGTGGTCTTTGACTTGTACACTATACTGTAGATTTAAAGCTTAATCTACTCATACCTATTTGAAAGGGTTTTTTTTTTTTTTAAACATGTTCTGCATGAACATTTACTATTTAGCAATTGCTCGATAGCCTCTAATATAAAGGTCAACGAGGTTTCTGTTCAGGGAAATGTGTCAAAATGATTGTCTACAGTAACTGACCATATGCTACAGATGTAGCAGATAGAGATTAGGTTGGAATATGCTGGAGTATTCTTTTAATGCAGGGCTAAAGGAAAAGCTGCAGTGTTTCCAGTCTATATACATCATAACTCACTACTTCTAGAATACAGATCAACTTCAGAAAGCAACATCTGTAAATCAGTTCTGCGTGTGTTCACTGAGAAGCTAAGGTGTTAACACACTAAAGTGATTTCAAGGCTATGGGAAGTCCAGGCCAAAGCCAGAGTCAGTATGAGTTTCATGTCTCTGATGGTGTCCGCTTCAGGATACGGAGCACATGGTGCTTTTTTCTGAGCAGCGTGAGTCACAGGAGCCTTCAGGAGACTCCATGATGGAATCCCGGCCATCAAACTCTGGAGAGTCCAGCTCTATGTGAGGGTCCTGGAGGCCACCGTCCTGCAAGACATCTTTATGATGAGACTCAGATAGACACAGACACAGATATAGGCCTGTTCATACCTAGTTTTTACATCCATCACAAGCGATCAGATGACAAGTGAACTGTATGATTCACTAAACGCATCTCTGTAAATGCATGCCCAAAAACCTCTCTGAACTTGCTCAAAGCACATCCAGATCTTCATTTGTTTTACCGCAGCACAATGTGGTATCATTCTGCGCAAGACGACCAAACATAGGGCTAAGTTTTATTCCACGCTTCTATAATTTAACAATAGCTCAACCAGTTTGCACTGAAGTCCCTGTAGTTACTGAACAATAAGTCTTAGTATGTAATAAGCCGTGGATTTTAAGGGGGTAATTCGATTTTTTGCCAAGCTCTTCCTATAAAGGCAATCGTTTTTTCTGAATAAGTAAATAAATAACCCTACACTTTGTCTTACCTTACTAACAGACAACTCCTCCACTCGGCCCTCCTCCATGGACTCCTCCAGAGAGTTGCCAGAAGTTTCCATCTTGATTCGGTGAGAGCGGATAGACTTGACATCATCCTCATCCTCACCTGCCACAGATGGGAACACCTAGAAAAGGAGAGCAAATCAGACAGAACAAGACCAAAGTGGCTCTATGTACTTACTGTACACTGCCCTAAGGATGAAGTATTGCATTAGATGGAAAGCATTATGGAAATGGTTCAGACTTTGAGGAGAGGATATCGGTAAATATTGGTATTGGGCATGTAACTTTGTTTGAGCTGGATTAGTTTTACAAGCTAATTTGCACAAGATAAAGTATATGTACAATTTATTCAATAACAAAAACAACACGGCACGCAGCCATGTCTTTCAACAGGTTTTGTTATAACATCACCATGAGGTCAATTTAAAAAGGACCACTCTTACTGAGTGAACTAAGGTTCAGCCAATTATAGAACTACATTCAGTCTGCAAGTTTTACCTAGTAAAAACTAGAGCACTGCAGAGAGTACTGGATTGGAGTCAGAGATGTTGTCTGTAATCATGTAAATCACAGTACTTCCCCACCTAAAGCTAGTAATCAACAGAAAAAACAGTTCTATCAGAATTCAGAGTGCAGTGTACCAGTACTTCCTCATCGATGGGGGGCTCAGGGGGAGAGATTGCAGCCTTGCTGATGGTTTGAGCCTCAAACTGTGGGCAAGCTGCCTGCGCATTTCCATCCTTATCCCTCTTTCCCTTCAGCCAGTAGGTCTCAATCTCCACATTACCCTGCAGGACAAGAATAATGTAACACATAGGCATGAGTTACACAGTTCTGCTGGTTTGTTTTGGTGGAGAGCGGTTGCTGTGGTGACAGAGACTTAGCATGTGTTAATTGGTATTCAGTCTAACAATTTATCCAGCAATCTACCCTTAATTGCTAAGGGGAAGAATATAACAGCAACTGAAAAGAGATGCAAACACATTCACGCATAAACACACAGACATACTTGTTTTATTTTTATACAGTGTCAGGACAAGTGGATCACACAGTGCTTATATCTTCCACAAAGATTTTTATGTATGTAGGAATTTATACATTTATACAACATAATAATATGGTCTTTATAATAATGTCTGTTGTACAGAAACCTTGTATCTTCATTTTTTGTCATTTGACAACTTTTGCATAATTTGAAAATTCAAGCTGCCCTTTGCATTGTGTTCAGTTTTCAAAATGCGATGAACAGATCAATAAAATCTAAAACCTAATCTAGAATGAACATAAAGTCTTACATTAACTCTACTTAGAATATAAAATATATTATATTTTGTAAAATATATCTTAACACTTACCCCATCTGCAGTTCACCCACATATATATATATATATATATATATATATATATATATATATATATAATATATATATATAATACACACATACAAAACTTCATGTCTCCAAAATGATAACTTAACAGGAGAAAGAAAAAACATGCTTTACTTTTAATGTAAGTCAATGGAACCAGACTTTTTTCTGAGTATTTTTTGGCCCATTTCTGTTGGTCCATTCATCATGAAATTTACACACAATGTAAAGGGCAACAGGCTTTTCCACGTTATGTCAAAAACTAAAAAAAGATATAAGAGATACAAGTTTTTGTTCCGACAACATGTATATATATATATATATATATATATATATATATATATATATATCTACACACACACATATGCATTCACAGAAGCAGAGTCAGTTGCCCCCTGCTGTTGGTCATTAGTGAGTTGAAATAGCAGGCTGGAATCTGTGGGTCTTTAATGAGAAGAGTGTGATTCATCTCTGACCTCTAAAAGGTTAATGCCTTATACCTTCAGAGCTGTAGACTTCTTTCTGTCCATAGTGGTCTAACATCCAAACTTAATCATCTGTCCAACCAGAAAAACCTGACATATCTTTACCAGACATAGTCCATCTTTGTATTTCATACATGTTTTCACTGGGCACTTCATCAAAAACCTCTATCTTATAGCTCCACCTTGTTGGTGTACAATTAGAGAATGTAGCTCTTCTGTTGAGGCACAGTTTGTGTTAGTCATCCTCTACTCTGTTTCTGACCACAGAGACACTCTTTTCTGGATATTTTAGGTGGCACATCACTCTCAACCTAGCAGTGAGTAAAAGCTCCAGAAGCACCAATGTGTCTGAGACACTCATACCAATTTCGCACACACTACCATGTCAATGTCACTGCTGTTGAGAATGATCCACCACCCAAATAATATCTGGACATCAGTGGCCGTTTGGTCAGAAACTGACTTTTGATGTATGGGATAGAGGGGGCTGATAAATTGTGCAGCAACAGTTGTTACAGTAACAGTTGGGCTACAGTCTGTAGGTGTACACTTGTATTGTGGACTTATAAGGTACAGTGTGATTCAAAAGTCCGAGACCACATTAAAAAATGGGATTTTCAATTTGGATTTTAATTTTAACCCAAATAAATAACAGGGGGCTGTAAATATTTCAGCGATTCTTCCTTTCACCCATGTGCTGATGATATACTTTGCAATGGAAACCTTGTGTTGAATAGATGCATTTTCACTAGTAGCCTCATACATTTGGACCACACTGTAGGTGGACCTTATAAAGTGACCAGTCACTGGAAATGTTTCTAATAAAGTGCCTAAACGAGCAAACAAATACAAAGAAACAAAAGAACATGTATTAGTGTACTGCTTATTTGTAGGCAGCAGTAGCTATGCACACTGATTGGGTTGACTGGTGCACACTTGACTGGGTTGTTACTAGGGATGCACAGTCAGATTCGGCCAAGATCAAGATCAGCAGATTTTTTTGCTCAAAACATGAAATTGGCAGTAATTAAAATGGCACAACATATTTAGTGCCATTTAGATGAACCTTAGAAGGTTTTTTTTTTCAAATTTGCATTCATTTACATTTACATTGCAGTGATGAACTAACATATGTGGGAAAGCCTTTTTTTGATTCTCTTTATTGATTACCATCCTTCTTAATTATTTATGAATCTCCTATGTATTACACCTGATTCAGTTCATCATGCCTTTGGGATCATCTGATTATTATATAAATTACACAAATAATTTTGTGAATTATTATGTGAATATTCTGCAATAAATGGTTAAGATGTAAACAGTCATAAATCTCAAACGCCCATCAAGAATAACTTATTGTTGCAGATTTTCAGTCAAACCATTTGTTTATGGCAACTATTTATTGATTCCAAGCATTTGGCCTGTTATGTGTCTGTCCATATGGTTTTTCATCCACATTGTTGCTGTTATAATAGCTCACCTTTATGGTTATGGTCCCACGTCTCTCAAAAATGAAGTGACTGCCCTTCAGGTGCTCATAGGTAGCGCTGCTGAGTTGAATGTGCATCTCCTGAAACAAACACAGCAGATTTTTTTATTGGATTAACCAGGGGTTAGGCTTGTAAGACTGTGTGCAATATACACCGATCAGCCATAACATTACAACCACGTCTATGCTCATTATCCATTTTATCAGCTCCACCATGTAGGAGCACTCTGTAGTCCTACAATTACAGACTGTAATCCTTATTTTTCTCTGCATTCTTTGTTAGATCTTTTTGCTCCGTACCTTTTCAACCCCTGAGATTAACTCAACCAATTTAAAATTAAATAACAGCTGCTCATTGCAGCAACAGACTGGTTGTATTTTAGCCTTGATCATCAATCAGCCCAAATAAATACATCAGTTCAATTCATTTCCAGTAGGGTTTACTGAAGTGATGTGAATGTGCCTTGTGGAAATCTCTGTACATTAACTACTTGTCACCTCTAATAGACTGAGAATGCAATGAAGCAATAGATCAATCTCTAATAGCAGTATGAAGTGCAGTGTCTTTTGCTATTTGTTTGCAGTGACCATAAATAACTGCTCTGAAATTTGTAATGTCATTTGAAGTCTATTATATATATATATACAGTTTTCGCACCTTGTGACTCACACACCTTCGCACACCCTCATAAACACAAACACAAACCTTTCCATTGCTTTCCATGGCTGATGCCGTATGGACTGTATCACCATGGAGACCATAACGAGGCATTTTGTGACCCACGACCCCAGCAACAACCATTCCAGAGTGGATGCCTAAAAGCAGAGCCAATACGCCGAAGATCAAAAGAAGTCAAACCCACGTCATAGCGGAGGTTAACGGGCAGCATCACTGTGGGCAGAGATACGGCAGCACCAAGCCACTTCTTTAAAGATCACCATCTCTGTATGTGTGCTCACTGTCATGCTGAAAGGGCTAATTATGTGAAAATAATTAGCTGAAAGTCAGGTGGAATGACACGGAAAACATGCTCACCCTCGCTCAGTCTGTTTTATTATGACCTGGAAATGCACTGCAATGCTTAAGAACACTGGGTGGTGTTCACACCGAGCACCCTCTGCGAGAACGTGTTTGAATCCTATCTTCCTTAATGTATCATTAGCAATACATTCAGAGTCTTTGACCTTTAAAATATGCCCCCAGGGTAGGTAGAACATGTGCATGTCCATAGTGGGCAGAGTAATATGCAGAGTGAAAGCCTCAGGGTCTCACAGAAGGCCTAGTGATTTCCAGGAACTAAAAAGTACATGTCTTTAACAGAAGTACCGTGCTTGTTGTAGTCAAACTCAAGTGTCGGAGTAATACTCTTATCTCATTAAGTTTTGTTTGGAAACAAAAGGGTTGAAATCCAGTAGAAAGCTGGAGGTGAGGTCCTAATGCGTCAGACTGCCTACCAACATAATTAGGAACTGGCAGTGGAATTAATCACATTTTGATTTACAATGGGAGGGACCAATTGTACAATGACTCAGGACCTACAAAGTCACTGTAAAACTGCTCCACACAATGTAAAATATTTCTTCATTTCAGTTACAAGCTTCAAATAAAGAATCTCGCTGCTGTTGGGACAAAACCTCATATCTCCAAAATGACGATTTTACAGGAGAAGGAAAAAACAAACTTTAATTTTAATATAAGTCAATGAAACCAGACTTTTTTCCAAGTCATTTTAGGCCATTCTTGTCGGTCTATTCATCATGGAATGTACTCACAATATAAAGGGCAACAGACATTTTTAAATTATGTGAAAAACTGAAAAACAACAAAAACGGAGGTATGAGATTTTGTTCCGACAGCAGCAATATGAAATGTCTTTTACAACCTCCAAAAGTCTGTGTTTAATCTAGAATGTGCAAAAAATGTTCATTACTTTCTAGACCTCAATTGTAGATTGAGATTGTAGATGTTTTGTTCTTGTCTATTTTTGACAAGTTTCGACAATTCACAGTCTGATCTGAAGACCCAGCTCTAATAGTCAGGATTTGCCACTGGTCAAATTTGTAAAAGAAGAACAATGCTGCCTTTATTGTTGCACTGCAATAGTCTGTGAGTGTGTGTGCACGTTCAGCACACAACTATGCTATCAAAATTCTTGTCATTGATTTTTTTCATCACAGTAACTAGAAAGGTGTGTGAAGTTTGAAGTATTTTTCTGTGCATGTGTTTGCTTTCTCAAAGTTTGTGACACAAATATTACAAAAAATAATTTCTGTACTTAATATGATGACAGCTTTGGGAAATCATGTTACTAAAGGACAAGAGTCGATTAAAAGGCAGTAATAGATGACTCTGTGCCTCAGTGTTAAAGACTGAATGAGTTGTACAGTGATATGCCTGAGAATTTCCACCACAGAAGGAAAGAATCCACATACCCACTCTGATCTGGATGTTGTTGCCATTAGACGGGTCTTTGAGGTGGTCAATGGAGCGCACCATGTCCAAAGCCATGTCACAGATATTATGGGCGTGGTACTTAGTCTTCTCAGGAGCTCCAGCTACAACCATGTAGGCATCCCCAATAGTCTCAACCTGAAATTAACACGAGCACATGCGCCCATGATCATAATCATGCATAAACTCAGCAGGTGGAACCAGTTAAAACTAATAACTCAAATACACAAACATGCACATTTGACATATAAGCCCACCTTGAAGACTCTGTGCTTCTCGCTGAGAGTGTCAAAGAGTGTGTACATGGTGTTAAGCATGGACACCACCTGCATGGGGGTGATGTGGCTGCAGATCCGAGTGAAGCCCACCACATCGCTGAACAGTATGGTCACATCTGGGAACACCTGGGCCACACACATACAACTGAGACTAATTAACCTCAAGATATGAACATAACTAAAGATAATACAATCATTGGCTATTCCAGAACTTAAACTGGCATATTTGATAAGGTCACTTTGTTCATTTTTGAAGGAAAACAGGAAGGAAAGAATAAGAAGCCTTTGAAACCATAAAGCAATCTCTGTAAATGTGGTTATCCTGCAGTCTGAGAAAGTAAAGCTGAAACATTAATTTACAGAAACCAAAAACCACTAAGACTTTGTAAGTTTCTGCTGTTTATATCAGTTCAAGAAATGTGAAAATTGAGATTAAACAAATATAAATGACAAGCGACTGTCATATCAGTCAGTGAATCACTGATTAGCTAAAACTACTGAAGTCCGTTTCATTTGTAACCCTATAAAATCATACTGGCCTGTTTTATAATTATAAAAATAATGACAAAGAGTTCATAAAAAGGGGGCCTGGCTGGTGGCCTGCAGGGCTCTGTATGTGTCCTGACCTCACATGTGTTGACCGCAGGCTCTCCCTTGCGCAGCCTCTTAGCAACAGGTTTAGGGATCATCCTGTAGAGCAGGTCATCAGTCTTCTTCATCTCATAGTCCAGCATCTTCATACTTTCCTCCAGTTTACTGGACTTCTTCTGCTCCTGTGAGGGGGGGAAGAGGGGTCAGCAAAGTCATGCATTTCTGTCATGTGTCAAATGTCGATACAGCCAAAACACAAAGGTAACCAGGCACCAGTCTGAGCACTAGCACCTCTTAAATGAGCAAATAAAGCCCAGTTACATGCCAGTTTACATCTCTCTTTAATCGCTTTTAATACAAATGTTACATTATTCCAACTCTACATACAAGGCAACGAGTTACATACAGTTTCAACTCAACCTGCTGCAAAAACTGGAATTTAAATGCAATTTAATTTTATTTACTTTATTTTGAAAATTGTATTTACATTCTTTCTTGCTTTTCTTTTGCATTCAAAAGGCCCTTTAATCCACAAAACGACCATTTTTGATGCCTGTTACTTAGGTAAAAAGCCTTTCTCTACATTTTACCACCCTACAACTACAGCAGTATTTCAGCTCCTTTTAAAACAGAAATAAAACAGTATTGAGATGCCTCATGAGATGAACTCAAAAAGATGGATGCAAATACCTGCATTACTTAAAGCTGTCTCAGGTACTTGCTCCTCACAGTGCATGCTTTTTCTAACACAGTGAGGTGTCTTTTAAAACGTCCACCACTGCTATGATAAGCTTCATGGATGGCTGCATGCCAGGCTTTGATTGAATGTTTTATTTGAAACTCACAGAAAGGAAAAGCATACAAAATCCTGTATGTATAACATTCCCAATACGGTTTATTTTAAACAGCATGTTGCAGCGTTCTTCTGGTTACTGGAGAAACAAACACTTACCTGTATGAGAGCCCTCTTGAGCTCCTCAGACTGCTGCGTTCCTGCCAGAACCAGATCTCTGCTGGAGTCGTGCATACTGAGGTCATTAATGTAGAGTCCAGTCTTAAACATGGCACTCAGACTCTCCATTCTACAGAAAGGCAACATAAACATACCATTTAGACTCAAGTCAGAAGAAGAAGAAGAAGAAGAACCTAAATAATTACATTATTATAATTTATGAACTAAATAAAAAAATTATTTATTATTAAAAAAGATTATTCTTAAAATTAAATATGCTGAAACAGTAGATGAAATTAAATAGATAAAAAAAGAATAGAACTTTAAATTCTAAACAAAATGTGTGTCCTGAGCTTGACTGTCCAATAAAAGGCAGAATTGAGTTCCACAGTTTGAAAGCATAATAACAGAAAGAAACTACTTTTCCTATAATTTACGGAGGACATTTGCTGAAGGCTAGTATCTGTCGTGTGTTGGAACATAAACAGGTGCTTTACGGCCATTTAGATCTATAAATAAATACAAAAACTTTAAAATCTATCCTAAAGGATGCAGGCAGCCAGTGCAGTCCTATAAAATGGGCATGATATGCGCACTCTATCTTTTTATCCTTAGGATCCATGCTCAGAACCTAAAGAGCTCAGAATCTAAAATTAGACCCAGCTATCATACGTCAGGCATGTCATATAGCTTCTCATTAAATGGCTTTCTCTGCACTCTGCACGATTGTGATTTCGATATAAAAACTATTAGCCTTTCAGCCCTAGTAATCTGTGTGCACGAGTCAGTCTTACACAGGCGTTCCCAGGAAGATAATGGACTCCCATTCTGGCATGTATCTCATCTGGCCTTTCAGTTTGAGGCAGCGGCTCCCGTCCCCCCAGCTCTCCATGGCATTGGCACTGTTTCCATCTAACAGAGCAAAACAACACCAGCAGCCATTCATTCACCCTCTGTTACACAGTGGCACTCACCAAGTGTCTGAAATGCACTGTGTTGTGTTGTTTTGTGTTGTGTGAGAGGGGTTGTTGACCTTTGTAATCGTCTCCAATGATGGACTGGAAGGCCATGAGCTCCACGTCTACATCAGCAGAACGATTAGCATTCTCATAATCAGAGTCTGTGATGGAGAGACAATACAACCGATTCAGCACCTTCACTCAAGCTTTGGAATCAATTTGTCTTTAAATTGATAGAAAACATGGTAAATAGGACCTTCCTTACTCTGGACTCTATTATGAAGGTTCCGCTCCCTCTTCACAGGCTCCTTGGACATGATTTCAAACAGGTTGTTGGGGTGGGAGATGATCTGTGGAGAAGAACTAGATCAGTCAGTCTCCTGTTCCTTTGTTTTCCATCTAAGTCAGGCCACTAGATAGGACCTGATACTTAGACTGAAAACCATGTTTAGTCCATGGCAAGTCTCAATCTGTCAATTAGAGAAATATGATTGACCCTTTTCCTCCTGTACACATTGCGCTAACTTCTTTTCACTTCAAAAAAATCAACAAAACATGTCAAATGACCAGGGTGTTACTGAAACATACATTAATGTAACTTTAATGTAAAAATTAATGTAAGGAGACTTTATAACAAGTAATTTTGGTCCATTTACCATGCAGTGTAGAGGGTAGCTGGCATGTAAATGTAGAACAAAAATGGGATTGAAAAATTGAGGATTTGATATGACAGTAACAATATTATTTTCATAGCAGACACTGAATAATTGACTGACTAACTGAATAAGGTGTTAAGCACATTTCCCATCAGGCCCTACGCACCATGTTCCAGGTGAACTCCACCAGGGGGCGAGCCAGAAGGAATGCATCGTTGATCTTCTTCCCATCTAGATCAGGGAAAACTGTGGCCAAACCAGAGCCGACATTGTGCACCACCATGTCCTGTTAGAGATAATGACCGTTATTTTACAGAACATTCTATAACCGTGCGAAGAAGAGGAAAAGAGAGCTGCTTTACCTGTCTGAAGACAATGTTGAAGGGAAACACCTCGAAGAAAAAGTCACTGGTGATCGGCAGAATCTCTTGCTCCTCTTCGTCCTCTTTCTGGATGTAGCGATAAGCAGAGTTATCGAAGTTCAGTCTGAAAACAAGCGACAACATTTGCTAACATAAATAAGCTGAAGACAATAATGGGATTCAAAGTCACACAATAGACCATAGTTACTCACGATTACTCAGTCCTTTCTTACACCGAGCATTTCAACAAAACAAAGCCTAGTGAATCTTACTGAAGTATGTAGTGTTCTCCTGTGGATAAAGCAGAGGGTCTCCTACCTCATAGTGACGTGTGAGTAATCTCCCACCAGCTGCTCAGAGAGAACCTCCACATGGATGTCTGTATCATAGAACTGTTTGCCCATCTGTCTGAGCTGACCCATAGCATAGTGTAGGTAGCCCTTCCGCTTGCTCCTGCAGTCCAGGGTCAAACAAACCACACATATGCACTTTTACATTAGTTATATCAGAAGGTCAGTTCCATCAGTTCAAATTTGTGTAATGCATTTTCACATGTACATTTCAAGACATTTCATAAGTCATAACTCATTTTCCTTCTGTACTGTGACATATTTTGAAATGGTATTGCGGAGGGTCGCAGAAGTAGCTGAGCGTATTCTCTCGATGATAGGTGGGGGAGGTGGGAGGGTGGGCAAACCATGATATTATTAGTTAATAGTATTTTTTTCTTGCCGCTGGTGCATGGTGATGTAATCAAAAATCAGAAGACATTTTAAAGACGAGCCAAAGTCATGACATTCTGAAAAGATAATAATCCTTTAATGTTATGGTATTATCAGCTATACAATGAGCTTTCCTGAATTTGTATTTGAGTGTCTATTCTTTCTAATGGATAGCATAGCGTCATAATAGGTTATTTTCAGGGACACCCCCCACGCCCAAATTTTGATTTTGAGACATTCAGGTGGTTCAAGAGGCTAATTAGTGAGTCTTGGACCCCCTGTATTTCGCACCTTAGGTTCATAACACATATTAACAAGAAAATCAAGAAACGTTACAGGCTGATCAACTGCATTTGGGGTAAAGGGAATTGTGTAAATTAGATTTCTCACTAAACTGTGGCTTTAACTATGCTTTGAGCCTGGATTAGGATCCATGACTGGGGGGGTGTTTAAAGTCAACCTGAAATCAAAATTGACCTTCTTCCCTTGTTAGTTCATGTCCCAGGACATATTAAGCATGATTCATTATTTAAATTCCATTTAAAAGACTGATTCTTGTGTTCCTGATATCTTTGATCAAAATGAAAATGACCTTCTGATTTTTGATTACGTCGCTGTGCATCAGGTGGCCAGGGAAAAATAATATTAACCAATAACATCATGTTTCACCTCCACCCACCCCACCTGTCATCAATACTCAGCAAGCACAGAGACCCTCCCTAACAGCATGTGTCCTAAACACATTACTGGAAACGTAAATAAATAAATACATTACTGGAAAAGTAAATGTGTTGATTCATGTTACACTTTACCTGTCTGAGTGAATGAGTGTGTTTCCTACCTGTAGTGCAGCGTAACTCCGGTAGCAGACTCCTCTTGACAGAAGAAGGTGGGGGGCTGAACTTTGGGATAACTGAAGCGCAGGTACTCATGCAGGTTATCCAACCCGTTGACAAAGTCACGCACATGACGGCCCAACACCTGGCACACACACACACACACACACACACACACACATTCACATGGAGAAACACAAATAAAGTATTCACAGTTCAGTCTGCTATACACTCTCATAATAAGTTTAGCTAACAAATTACATGTGAATATTCTGTAAAAGTCAAGTTACAAGAATTGCTGACACAAAATTGAGTAGCACCTTGAGGATCCTGTCATAGCCGTACTTCCCCACAAAGCCCAGGAAGTAAACACCCCAGGAGTTCATCAGCTCATTATAGGGGGTACCTGTAACACCGCTGGCTGCTTTCGCTATGCGTGGGATTACACTCTCACTGTAGACCTACACAACACACACACACACACACACACACACATTTTCACAATTTCTTGTTAGTCTACTAGAAACTGCAAATTCAGGCCTTGACTTATTACTACCAGACATTAGCTTTGCTACTGCCTTATCATGAAAGTGTCCATTCTATAAGTTAAAGGGACACTGCATCACTTTAAATACACTTCACTAGTTATCAGCTAATAGGAAACAACATCTGACAATGTTTAGTTATACTTTAGTTTAGTTATAATTGTCTTTCTGGGGTTCTGGCAGCAGAATGTCAAAATTTTGACCTTTCTATGCCAAAATAATGACTTAATTTCTCAAAATCTTGACTTACTATGTCTAAGTAATCAGTGATTTTCACTAGAAATATTGACTTACTATGTCAAAATAATGACTTGTTTGACTAAGAAAAAAAAGGAATTATTAAATTCCAAGAATCAAGCAATTATTTCTGGATACTGAGCCAAAATCTCAGGGGGAAAAAGTCATTATTTGGAGATTTGAATTCAAGCTTTTCAGAAAATAAGTAATTATTTTGACATAGTCAATATTTTAAAAGAAGATAAGTCATTATTTCAAGATATAGAGTGAAAGTCTTGAGAAAATAAGTCCTTATTTTGAATACTTCCTGAAAAGAAAATTGGTGATTTGTTGTCTCCACCCGGCAGTCCCACTCTTTACATTCAGAGGCTATCCATTTCTGTAACATTGACATTTACAGGTACTAAGAGGAAATGAATGAATTTAAGTGAATTATACAAAGTAATACATACAATGATAACTGAAGTGCTACTAAGAGGAAAGTGAAAAAAGTCAGCTCATTCTGTGATACCAAGTACACAAGTACCAACGATACAGGTACTATGAGTAAATTAAATAAGTAAATAATCCAACCTGGTGTGTGACGAAGGAGTGGAGTCTAACGTCTGCTCTCTCTCTCACCAGCTTCCACACGTCATCCCCGTACGACTCCTTAATGAAGTCATGCAGACTCTCACACAGCAGACCATACATGATGACTGTACAGAGATACACAGAGCAGCAACAGCTAGGTTAGTGTTAGGGCTGTAACTACTGAATAAATGAGTAATCGAGTAACCTGGCGATTGTTTTTGACTAATAAAATTAATTAGAAAATGTAATTTAATACATTTTAAGCCCTGCTTTAATCCAACTTAGTGCTGAATGTGAGAGTTTGTTGAGCATCTGCCATAATGACCTATGGATACCCCGTTTGTCACTCAAATTGAGAGCTAGTTACTAAGTCAGTTCATTAAGAATGTAAATTTTAATCACTTTGCCTTTATAATTTTAATCAAGTAATTGTGACAGCCTTAGTAAACGTACATATACACAGAGAGGGTAGCGGACTCACACACTCAAAGCTTTAGTCTAATCCGCACTCACGTCTCAATCACGCTGACTCAATGCAAATCTACGGTAGAGAGTCTGTGGCAGGTCCTGTAGAAATCCCTACACCTGAAAGTACATCAACAATGAAGAAAAAAAGGCCCAGTAGTTATTAGCACATTCTAAATGAATGGCCCATGAATAGAACAGGGCCCATCTGGATGAAGAATGTTTCCAAAGAAAGATATATATTCTTCTTTTTCCTTTAATCTCCTCAATTTGAAAGAATCAAAATGCATCTAGATTCTTCTGAACATGGAACCCAACCACAGATCCTCCAAAATATGAACCACCCGCCAAAAGGCTGTGCATGAGTCAAAGATCTCAGAGGGAGAATGCTCTTTGAGAAGCCTCTCCCTTGTGAAATTATTATTTAGGACATGAACTAATGCTAAATCATCAGCCTTTCCTAATTCAGTGTGAACTAACCTGACTCGAGCTCCTTCTGAGACGCCGGAACTGTTGAGAATCTTCCAGCTGGGCCAGCATCATTACTTTTGTAAGCCGGCCCACTTGTGTCAACTGTTGAGTGGGAGAGTTGAGCCATTGTTCTGAAGTCAACTGGCAGTGACATGACTGGGAGGCTGCCAGCAGCAGGTCTTCTCTCAATCACACATGCTCGGCTGAAGGGCCTCTTCCCTGACCGGTCTGAGGGATGGACAATATCAGAATCAGGCAAAGAAGCTCTCACTTGTTGCAGTGGTTTGTGCCATTTTGGAGTTTCTAATGAAGCCCTGCTGAGGCCTCAACGTCAGCACAATTTTTAAACTTTTGACATGTTAATAAAGGCTTTTTAATACGACTTATTTGAGAGTGTGAGTGTTTTTTCAAATTACTCATCTTTCATTTCTTTAACTTTCAGTCAAAACAGCCATTAAGTGCAAGACATTCATTTTCAGGAGATATTTCTGAGGAGATTAGAAATAAAATAATACACTTGCATAAAAACAGAGTAGGTAAAAGAGAGAGAGATAACAAGCATTACCAGAACTAGTGTCTGTCCATCCTTATACTGTGAGACGACAACTCAGCATGGGTCTGAAAGAATGTGTAGCTGTTAAGAAGACCTTACTGAGAAAAGGAAACAAAAGAAGAAGAAAATCTGCAAATCGAACAAAGAAGATGCTGGTGTTCTCAGAACAATGGACTGACCACCCCAGAGTCCAGATCTCAACACCACTGAATGTGTTTGGGGTTACTGGGCTTCTGAGAAGCAAATACAACCAACTTCTATGACTGAACTTGGAGGTGTGGAAAAACATTTGTGCAGATTTCTATAAAAAACTGAAAGCAAGTGGTTACAGGGGTGGTGTAGCAGGGCAGGGGTACTCCAGGACCAGGGGTGGCTTTCTGTGTGAAGGATGTTATGGCTGCATTTTAAAGCTGTGACTGATTCACTCAAATCCAGACGGACAAACAGAAATACAAACAGACGATACCTTAATCTTTAATCTTTATTCATGACTCTAACCCCAGACTGACCTCACCTTTTGTGACTGCAACACCACATACAGGTCATGTCCTTGTGTACTTTTCCTCGCATACACAAGCAGACACACACACACACACACACACACACACAAACACACACACACAAGAATGTCTGGCTGCCATCCTGAGGTGTGTCTGAAATGTTTACCACTATCCATCTCAGATGAAGCAGTGACAGTCTGGACAGACTCAGCTGTCCCGCTTCACACACACACACACACACACGCACACACACACACAAACACACAAAGACACTTAACCAACACCCTCTCTAAAATGTGCACACACACGCATGTATACACAAACCAATTTGTTTTTATACAATCTTAGAAAATGAGATCATATATGCATTCTATATACAGTACTAGTCAAAAGTTTGGGCACACTTACCCATAGAAGGGTTTCCTCCCTTTTGCTATTTTCCACATTTAAGAAAACAATTATGAAATAAACATACTAACACATACGGAATTTTGTAGGAACCAAAACAGTGTGATTATTCTCTCAAGCAGCATCATGAGGAGGTACTTGAGATGTTTTCCCAACAGAGGAAGACACACATATGCTGAAAATAATTTTATTCATGGGCATCAACTTCACTGCTTGTATTTGTCTTAGAAACAATTTTCATTTAAATTTAAGTAGGACCTTCAGATCAAAATATATTTACATAAAGATTATATAAACTGCCACTCAAAACCTTGCAACATATCAAAAACATCTGCACTTTCACCCTTTTGCATTCACTGTGTTTCAAGATGAATGGACCAACAGAAATGGTCCAAAATTACTTGGGGGAAAAAATCTTGTTACATTAACTTACATTAAAAGTTAAAAACATTTTGTCCTTCTGCTGTAACATTACCATTTTAGAGATATGAGGTTTCGTTCAGACATTGGCGATGTAAATGGATCATTCTACCAAACTGGTTCAAAGTCAGAGTTGAAAACACATTTAAGACTTAACTGACTTGGATTTTAAACTAAAATCATTTTGCTTTGAATGACCCTATACCTTAATTTATGTTTTTAAGTTTACTTAATTGCAGGAAATGTATGTTTCGATAATAACAGTTTTTAATGTTACACACTGATTTTCAAACTTTTAGTTCAGTACATTCAGCACATTTACTTCAAAACAGTGTGATCTAACTGCTCACCATGTGGTCCTGAGGGACAGGGATGCAGTCTCACTTCCTGCTCTAAAATGCAGGGGTGTGGCTAAAATAAGCCATATATATATATATATATATATATATATATATATATATATATATATGTGTGTGTGTGTGTGTGTGTGTGTGTGTGTGTGTGTGTGTGTGTGTATAACTACCTATATGTAATAATAATATGTTCCTTATGTATTTTGTATTTTTGTAAATGCCCGCGCATAACATAAACGTGTCCTGAAATAAAAATAAATATGTCTGGATTTATCTGGATTTATATACACATGCCATAGGTTTAGGCCTAGGCTTAGAAACGGTTTCTAATACTTCAGTAACCAAAAGGAATTTTCTTCCAGTTTTAAACACATAAAATATGGTACTTCACTCTATCGTGACCTATCTGCTGGTACATTATTCCTGTTTTCCCCTGGTTTTGTGAGCTTTTGTCTTGAAAGTACATAAAAACAAACCAACCAACCAACACACACACACACACACACACACATGCACACACACACACACACACACACACACACACACACACACGCACACACACACGCACACACACACACAGTGAGTGAGGATCAGGTTTTTATTATGGTGGATACGGGGTTAGGTTTGGGTGTAAATCCTCGCCCCATATAGCCTCTGCTGCCCCCTTGGCTAAAATTACTGCTGTGATGTAAGCACAAGGACAGGCCAGGAGTCCAGAGCCAGTCTATACAAGCACTTTCCATCTCCATCCACCCTGAGATCCCGCCAGAGTCACAGCACCATCACAGCTTCCTCTTCACCACACACAGGTAAGCTGCAAACACTCTCTCGGACACCGTTAGGTCGAGTGAGGAGCCGCCACGCTGGCTGTGTGTGTGTGTGTGTGTGATTGTGTGTGTGAAGTGTTCCTCTTCCGCAGAACACCTGCTGACAGGCGTGTAGTGTGAATGGCTGTGAGCATCTGCTCATCTTTAATCAGGGATTTCACTGTGACATAATGTGTCCTGGTGTTTGTAGTGTACCTATCAAACATTACAGCCAGGATTACAGACACAAGAAGATGATAATGAATTTGGGCGAGCGTGTAATGGCACACCAGCTACGGTTCAGAATTATTCTGAAAGGAAAATTGTAAAATGGGACTGAATGATTACCAGATAATTAGTACAGCTACAAAAGACAATGAACTGTTGATGTTAAAACAGTGGAGCAAAGAACAACAAACAAAACCCAAAAAACTATGACAATGGTGATGCAGAAGTTTTGTCCTAACAGCAATGATATAACAGCAATGATATATATATATATATATATATATATATATATATATATATATATATATATGTTGTCAGAAGAAAACCTTGTAACTTTACAGGAAAAGGAAAAAACCTACTTTACTTTGTATGTAAGTCAATGGAACCAGACATTTTCCCAAGTCATCTTGGGCCTTTTCTTTTGGTCCATTCTTCATGAAATTTACATTTAAAATGTAAATGGCAACAAGCATTTTCAAATTATGTCAAAAACTGAAAAAAGACAGAAATGGAGATACAAGATTTTCTTCTGACAGCAGCGATGTATATATTGCATTATTCATAATTCTGTACCTTACACTAAGTAAAAGTTTCAAGATGAATGGAGCAATAGAAAAGCACTAAAATTACTTGGAAAAAATCCTGTTCCACTGACTTACATTCAGTATTGTGAATGTTTTTTCCACCTCCTGTAAGGTTACCATAGCATCGATAGTGATGATTTATTACATTATTACTATTGGGATGAGGCAGTGATTCTCCATCTTGGTCTGTTAGTGTTTTCCCTGCTCTAACAGACCTGGTCCACCAAATGAGTTAATTAACAAGCCCTTCCTTAGTTGAGGTGAATCTGTTAGAGCAGCACTAAAACACTAAAATATGCACTCTTAAAATATGGTAAGGACCCCAGGGGTAAGGACACTAAAAAGGAATGTTAAAAAGGAATCTTAAAATAACGTTTGGGTTGGTCTATTCTTTGTGTGTGTGTGTGTGTGTGTGTGTGTACAGGGATGATGCAGACTGCACACCACAGTATCACCAAACAACGGAGGCAGCAGGCACTGGCCCTCAGCAAAGAGGCCAGAGGAGGTGAGATATACAAATACATTCACACAGATACTAAATGGCCAAAATTATGCGGACACCTGACCATCCCACCTGTACGAGCTTTTTGAACATCTCATTCCAAACGGGATCCCGTGGACATGGGCATCCATATGGAGCTGGTTCCACTTTTTAGAGGAGGCTTTTCACAAGCTTTTAGAGTGTGTCTGTGGGAATCTGTGCCCATTCAGTAAAAAGGGCATATGTGAGGTCAGGCACTGATGTTGGATGAGAAGGCCTTGGCTCACAATTAACGAATTGTGGCAAACTGTTGCCACAAAGTTGGAAGCATATAATTGTCTTTGTATGCTTTACTGGAACTAAGGGGCCAAACCCAAACCAGAGTCCAGTGGCGGCAAGCATTACACCACTCCAGCCGACGCTTGGCATTGCACATAGTGCAAAAAAATAGTGCAAAGACAACATATCAGATGTTGAAACTGAGAAATTTGATTGTTTTTCGAATCAAATGGCATCAAATTCAAAATGGGCATATATTTTATGCCCATTTTAAAAAATATATGCCCATTTTGAATTTGATGCCAAAAAGATCTTTTTGGCATCAAATTCAAAATGGGCATATATTTTTCGAAAAACAATCAAATTTCTCAGTTTCAACATCTGATATGTTGTCTTTGCACTATTTTCAATGAAATATAGAGTTTAAATGATTTGCACATCATTTGTGTTTTTATTTACATTTTGCACAGCGTCCCAATTTTTTCAGCAAAATAGATAAAGTTTGTTTGGCCAAAATACAGGAAACACAATCAGTCTACTTGGTTTATTTAAGTGTGCTAAATTGAAGCACTGTTATATATGTAGAATGGATTTCTGTACAGGGTGTGTTTATATAACAATTTCCCCACAACAAGTCATATCAAACTGTTCTAATTAGGTTTCATTGTCATAGGTCACTGTCTGTTGTTTGGCCTGGTTTGTGTCCCATGAGAAACAGAATGGAAGCACATTTTTCCTTTATTTTTATTCTCACAGTCGAATTAGACACTGAACCCACACAGCATTCTCTTTAACGCTCACAACTCCAGAATTATTGCTATTGTTTTGCTAAACTTTTCAAAAATTATTACATAAATATATATTTAATAAGATGTTGACATAAGAGAAGTTATATTTATATTTGATTCACATTTTAAATAAACTTTCCTTGCCTTAACAATGAATTGGAGGTGTTGCACGTTACAGGTTGTAAATCATACTATGTTATTCATTTCTAATTGTAATTACATCACATACTCCACAAAGCAACACCAGCACCCAGCCAATAAACCTCTGAAGTCAGGAACCATTTTGTATTCAGCAACATACCCAAATAAGGAACTCTGGGTCTAATTGCTTTTTCTCTACAGGAAAAATGAATGCAATTTTTAAAAAAATCACCAATGTACCAAACATTTCTTCCTATGTATTTTTCCTCAATGTCACTCGATCCTCTGAATTGCAAGATCATTACATATTCAAAAAACAAATAATTCTACATACATGCTACAAGCAGGAAAACACTCCTGTGCATTGAATTCATGTCACATGAAAGTAAATTTACTACTGCAGGGACAGACAGATTAGGTCATTTTGATAGAGAATGAAAAATCACTTAAAGCTGGAAGTTGTCAGTTTTAATTGAAATTAGTCAGTTAGTAACTATACAGGCACAGTAGCTACTAATACAGTATGTTTGACGAGCCACATAACTGCAAAAATTAAAATACAATTATGTTAAAGACGGAGTCTGCATGTTCTCCCCGTGTCTGCGTGGGTTTCTTCCGGGTTCTCCGGATTCCTCCCACAGTCCAAAGACATGCAGTCAGGCCAACTGGACCCTAGGTGTGAATGTGTGTGTGATTGCATATGTCTGTCTGTCTGCCCTGCAATAGACTGGTGACCTGTCCAGGGTGTATCCTGCCTTCCACCCAATGACTGCTGGGATAGGCTCCAGCTCCCCCCACGACCCAGGAGAATAAAGCGGCTTAGACAATGTGTGTGTGTGTGTGTGTGTGTGTGTGTGTGTGTGTGTGTGTGTGTGTGTTAAAGACTTCACTACATTGCAAATGCTGTCATTTGTGCACATAAAGTGACCACTATTTAGCTGTGGTGCCAGATGCTTCTTTATGAGTGTGTCTCTGTAATACGGTCTAAAAGCATTCTGCTATTATACTGTATTTGTAGATACTGTGCCTATATGGTCTTAATCTGTTATCAAAAACCTCTCTATGGTCAAATGAACCCCAGTCTGCCCAGTCTGCACTTTCCCTCTTTATTGCTTAAATTTTATGTTTGTTTGTGCCTAAATGTGAATAAATACATACTATAAATATTTAGTTATTTTACACAGTCAAACTTTCTATACCTCTGGTTTGATTACATGTTTTGTTGATTAACACATCTAGTAAACAGTTTGTGTTCAATTTCTATTTATTTACTGAGTTCGCCACATTGGAAAAAATAAAGCATAAAATACAAAATGTGCAATATGTTTTGCACAGACCACATTTTATGTGGTTTTTCAGCAAAATTTTGCATACATGCTGGTTGCCACAGAGGACCACTGAAATGCCCCATTTTGTCCCCATCACCTTTTGAAATTTCGTCTGTAGTTCTGAGTAGCCAATATCAGCTCTGATGTGTGCTGGCTGGGTAATCAATAATGACCACAATAGCCCACCATCCTGCAGTTTAAATGTGTTTCCTGCTGGACTTCACATGTTTATATAAGTACGTGCATCAAAATTCAAGGGATCAGTGCAGCCTGAGCCAATTAACTGTTATTTCCTTAACTCAGTTCTCAGAATTACTGTCCTGAGACACACAGCTCTATAATAATGTGTTATTAATGATAATTATGATAAATGAACATGAACTGATAATCAAAAATTCATGCTGATTAATTGTGACCATGATTGTCTGGTAATTCATTGTGAATTCAGCCAGCCAGGCTAGCTATGATTACGAAACAGAGAGAGTTTAAAATGAAAGTAAGCTGTTATTATTTTGTTTGGGTGTTTGGAACAGAATTGTTGGTGTAAATTGGTAATTATTGGTGTACATTGTTACATTTCCACATAATTTAATCACTCTGATGTAATCAAGGCAGGGTTGCCAGATTGCTATTTTAGTTTCCAGCCAAAAAAAAGTTTAATACCCACAGGAATGCATGAAAAACTGCCCAAAGTCAGTATCATTTAACCATAGTGTGAGGTAATACAGCATTTTACCAACATGACATCAATAACAGGCTTCTGGGTCAGTTAACCGCTGATGAATTGGCTCTAAAAAAACAGCCCAAATTTTGTCCACCAGCAAAAGCAGTACATTTCATGTCAAACAAATCTGAATTTTACATTTTAATGATTGAATTATGCAGAATTTTTGTAAAAAAAAAGTTGGAATTTGTTCTTATGACACTCATATTTTGTAGTAGGGCTGCTCAATCATGGCAAAAATCATGATCACAATTATTTTGGTCAATATTCAGATCCGGATCATTTAACACGGTTATTCATAGACTTATGAAACATCATGCATTAATTGAACTAACTGAATTGAAAAAAAATAGTAACAGTGGATTTCCTTAAGATTTACATCTGATTTAACTGAAAAACAAATACAAAATAAAGGAAAGGGGTTCACTGGATTTAAAACACAAGACAAAACAAGATCATCATTATGGAACGCAGTTATAGTTTTATTTTGATTATTTTGTTTTCATAATTGTTGGAAGCCAAAATTGTAATTGACAGTAAAATTTGATGAATCGTCCAGCCGTATTTTATTGTAGCAATGTAACCAAGTTAGTCAAATTGTCTCTTGTTGCACTGATCCGACTTTCCATCAGTGAATAACATTTGTTTCTGTCGCTGATTTGTGAAAACTTGCAGAAAGTAAAGGATCATGTGCAAGGGCTTTACTTTGACATGGAATATTTTTTTTTATTTCAGTTGTGAGCAAAACTGACACAGAACAGATTAAGAAGACTCATAATATTTTTTAAAATCAGTAACAATGAAATAGTTAATGTAAAATATTTCCAGGGCTGCACAGACATCTATTACATTAGCCTCATAGTTTCACTGCAAATCTAAAGAAGCAAACCTCGGACACCAAACATATCGTAGCGGGGGGTAAAAGCTGTGTACATAGTTTGGTAAACCATCACTCTGAGGGTTGGTGGAGGGTGTATATTACGGCATTAGAGCTGGTGTTCTGCACTCAAGGCTCTGGATTCTGACCTCTCTGACTGACTGACAGCAGCAGCAGCTGATCAAAAGCGTTCTTTAAGGTCACGTGAGCTGCAAGCTCAACATATTGCGTCACAGTGTAAATAGAGACGAGCCGCTGTACCTCCACCACTCCCAAAGAAACTGTCCTCTCAATGTGTGCTCACATTTTTTCCGGTGAGCTCAGCTGTGCGCATGTTTGGCCCAGCAGCTCCTCGAGCTCAGCTGAATCTGACTCTGGGCTGGACATCCCACTGAACTGAATCTTCCTGAGTTTCTCCATCCAGCTGGCAGTTTATAATCACAGGCAGCAAAATAAACATTGTACAGTGCTTTTAAACAGAGCCTTCTCTTTTAGCTCAGTCGCTAGTAGAGCCATTTAACACTGGGATTAACAACTGATCATCACATTGATTTATCAGTCTACTCAGGCTCTAGCAGAGCTCAGTAACACTGAGTTTAATAACTGATAATCACATTGATTTATCAGTCTACTCAGGTTTTAGCAGAGCTCAGTAATACTGAGATTAATAACTGACCATCACATTGATTTATCAGTCTAATCTATTCTGAATACGGATTCTTAATGCTTGTATTCCGTTACATCCTAACCCTGTTAATATGTCAGTCTATTTCCTTGTGAAATACCTTATCCATCAAATGAAATACTGTCAGGGACCAGCACTGTTGGCAACATTAGAGAGAATATTCATCATGTTTTAATTTCAGAAGGCCTGAACCTTGGAAAGAAGGTCAGTGTGCCAAAAGACGTGATGATGGAGGAGCTGAACCTGACGTCAAACAGAGGCTCCAGAATGTTCCAGGAGAGGCAGAAGAGAGTGGAGAAATACACAGTGGAGGGCACGGCTGACGCATCTTCTCTCATATACGTAAGACATGAAATATGACTCATGAACTCATGACTATCAAAGGCTTTTTCCAAATGTCAGAGAGGGTAAACATACAACTGACCCATGTCAGTAGACTGACCTTTAAAAAACAACAACTAAAAATCAAGTAAATTTCTCTCTTATTATTGTGAAACGTACCAGGGAGTTAGGCACTTGATTAATATCCTTTAAGCAGAAGGAACATGTTCTGACATTCATACATTCTTCAAGTGGGAAAAACAAACCAAGAAATCAGGCTCACTCTGGACTGCAGTTCCAGTTGTCCTTCTACACATTTGCAACATGTTGGGCTGCACTGTTTAGTCAAATTAGAAAGCTTAAATGCAGATGAGAATGTTTTAATGTGGGCTCTCCTTCTGCATAGTATCGGCTGTACTGAGCTGATGAACTACTGAAAGAGTCCAGGATCTGTTAGGGAGAAATGCATCCACTGCTCAAAGAAATCACACTAAAACACTATGGGCTAATAATCCAAATGAAGACAACAGACAAGCTTGAACGCCTCTCAGACTGCTGGCTTCTCTCATTGCTGGTTATGCAAGTTTCTACTTAGTATGTCACCTGGATTTATGACAGGCATTTCTGTGAAGCTATGAAATTCTGGCTACGTTCTGGTTCCAGCTCAGTTCTTCTCAGCAGTGCTGCAGAGAGCCGAGAGAACGGAAAAGACTTAGAGAATGCAGGGTTAAATATAAACATGGGCCATCAGCTAAATGCAAAATGACTCTGTGTTAGAGGTCATGAAATAATGAAAAACTTTATGAAAATCATTTTGGACATTTCAAAGCCAACAAAAGGCCAAAACACAAAACTCACTTCCAAAGTGGCATTTTAGCTGAACTTGTGGAACTAAGCTGAAGGTTATAGCTGTGGTAACAGGTATTATACACAAAAGGAATAAACAGGCAATCCTGGATTGTAACTGTAATCAGTTTTATTATTTTGAATCAGATTTTTTTGACATTTTATTTGCACACAAAGTCAGGTTGACTTTGGACATACATACTCATAGTTACCAATGGACATGATAGAATAAAGGGAAAAAGAGAAAAAAAGAAAGAAACTGACTGTTTAGGGCCGTGCCTCAAGGTAAGATATTAACAACTGCCATATTTGACAAAACCTGTACATTTTCTGATTAGGTTGTATGTCAGTTGCTCTAATGGGAGCACTGTTGTAACCTGGGACAACCAGAAATCAATGAATGGAACCTGATGAGTTGACCACAAGAGTAAAATACATTTCTTGGCCAAACATATTAATATAAAAGCAGATGCTTTGTATCACAATCAAGTACAGATTCCATATCAAAGTATCATAGGAACAAAGCAGGAGAAAAGACTAGGAGAACCTTCAGTATTTTTCAGTTACATGAAAAGCAAAGATTTGTACAACGTGAAGAGATTTTATGGAGGTGAACTGGTGTAAGGTAAGTCTTTTTAATAAATTTAAAGTTAATTTCATAAAGAGATGTCGAGTGTAGTCTGTGCCCCATGTGTGAAACACAAGGCCCGCGGGCCAAGTTAGGCCTGTGACACAGTCCGATTCGACCTGCGAAATTATTTTAATTCTCTATTATTATTAACCCGTTTCAGCATGCACCGCAACATAGTGTGCGTTCTGACCCCCAACAACAATCTCTGGGCCAGCGGTTACACAAAAAGAAAAGATGTCTGGTGTCTAGTTCAAGCAAATAGGCAGTTTTAAAAAAAACAATTTATTTTTATTTTGAATTATTCTTGAATAAGTATTTAATGCCTATTTTGCTGTGGCATATTTTGAATAAATAATGGCCCATTCGGGTCGTGGCAAAATGTTAAGTAAAACTGAAATAAAAACACAGCCGGCCCACAGATTTGCTGAGATTTTTTTAATATGCCCGTTTTAGCGGTTGAGTTTGACACCCCTGCTCAAGGCTGTAGGCCTTCCCACATCAATTTCCTATTATCATCACTTATGTTCATCCCCAGATCTCACTCCCACACACACCCTTCAAGATTTATCCATTTTTAAGCATTAAAATAAACTCTTTTTTTGTCTTCAGAACAACCAGCATTTCAGCCAGCTCCAGAACCAGGGCCAGACAGCTGCACACTCACAGGGAGGAAAGGAGAACGTGGCGTACCCTGTACCTGGTAAACACAGTCTGGTTACCACTCTGAAGAAAACTGTGGCCAAGAAAGGCAGCCCCAGCGTCCTTGCTCCAGGTAGAGCAATGGATTGGGATTGGCGTTAAAGAAATGCTCTGCTCAGAACTTCTAACAGCTATCAGTGAGTGAAAGCGAGAAGGGGAGCTGGTTAGCGTGAGGCTTTTACGTAATGCTAACTGCCCACTGCTAGCTTTCATTCATTGTTAGCAGTGTTTGCAGTCTTGGGTGAAGTATTCCTTCAATGTTATTTCAGTCCCTGGGGATCCACAGAACAGACATTGGGTTGAGCCTGAGGCGAACACAGCTTGCTAATCAAACTGATGTCTATTAGCAGTGGAGTGACCTGACTGTGCCATGGTTTGGCTCAGTTTTACTTCTTTGGTGGTGAACGAGTGTCTGGGAAAGTTCCTCTTTACTGCATCAGTAACAATACGCAGTTATATCTGATACTGATACTGTGATATCGCTATTAATGAGGATAATTAAATCAGCTGGCTGTGGCCTAATATAGTTCTTGTCAACGTCAGCGCTGCACACAAACTGTCCTAACACACCTTGTTGAATGAAATGGTTACGCATGTACCTTTTAAACTACGTAGACACTAATCAGTTAGGTTACTGTATTATTTTACAGCACTATTCCCTAATGAATCTCACTTAACACACGGAGATGCTTTCTTGATATGTGAGCATGATTACCCCGTTGACTGACACGGTTGAGCCCAATTAATGTTCCTTCTTCAGACCCCTAAATAAGCCCTCATGTGTCTCTAACCATATTTGGTCCCACAGGGGGCCTCAATGACTCACTCGAAACCTATGAGCTAAGACAGTGGAGCAAGAAAACGCTATCTAATGCATCTCAGAATGGGCTGGCGAGGGTGGGTATGGGGGGCCTGTTTCCAGGGACAAATAGCAAGGAGTCTTTCACTTGCTTCCAGACTCCAGTGCTATTGCTCAGTTTACCTACAGCCTGGGTCCACTGCCTAGTTTTAAAGCTCTAGTCTGACAACTGCTGATTTCAGTGCAGCAGATCTCACAAATCTCTGAACAATGCTAATGCTAATAAGACTGCATCAAAGTAGTAATATGTACAGTCAGAACGCTTTCTGTCTGAAAACTCAGTGCTAGTCCTGAGCATTTCTGACCAAGGCGATAACTTTACAGAAGAAGGAAAAAAACTACTTTACTTTTAATGTAAGTCAATGGAGACTTTTTAAAAGTACAGTTTGGACATTTCTGTTGGTCCATTCTTCATGAAATTTACACACAATGCAAAGGGCATAAGGGATATTCAAATTATGTCAAAAACTGAAAAACGGCAAAAAATGGAGATACGAGGTTTTGTTCCAACACCAGCAATATGGACTTCAACACTGTGCAAATGTACATATTCTATATCCTGCTCACATCATCAGTTACACATACTGTATATCTGCACTTCATAACTGTAGATAACTATACTTAAAATGTAACTGTGCATGAGTCTTACTGCACATCTTTTATGCTACTTGTAGATACTTTTGTGTGTTGTGTATTTTATTTATTTTTTCTATATCTTGATTGGTATTTGTGTATGAAAAAATACTTGTGCATCTTGTACTTGGTGAATAAAAGGCTTTGATTCTGAGTTGTGGGTGGCTACAGCACTGCGCAATTTTAATAAGTTTTACAATTAAACTCTTGGCTGGGCAGTGCTGTGGCTGACTGGAATCACCTATACTTTGGTTGTGTTCTTTAACAGTGCTGTCCAAAGTTGGCCTGTAAGTACACTCACAGAAAAGAAAAGGTACTAAACTGTCACTGGGGTGGTACCCTCAGGGGAACATCTCAGTACCTTTAGTCAGGGAACATAACTGTACCATAATCCATTGAAATTATATTTTGTAAGTTGTACTGACTCCACACACCCCGTCTCGCCTCCAGGCTTTTATTTTATTGTTCTGTTTTAAAACATTCGGTTATGAAAATGTACAAATACCTACTTTTCACCTGGAAAAACGTAATTAAGGTGCACAATTGGACCTTAAAAGTGTTGTTGTACCTTTGAGGGTACATTCCATTGTTTGCCTTAATGAATGAAAAATGTACCTGCACCTTCAGACAGTGTATGTTTGATTTGGCCTGCCAAAAAGTTACCCTAACCCCACCCCTTCACCCAGTGAAGGAACACACACATTTTTATACTACATAGAACTTGTTAAATCATATATTTACTAAAAATATGCAGTATAATGTTACGAAATACATTGCAAAATCTTCTTTATTTGTATACTGTTTTGGGCCCTTGGCCTACCACAGACATTGCACACAGGCCTCCAAGAGAAAAGTTTGGGCACCCCTGTTCTTGAATGCTATAGAAATTAGGTCTACAATGCGCTAAAAGAAGTATTCTGGTAGTTATGCTAACATTACTGCACACTTTCATGACCCTTTTAAACTGTTTCCCTGCCACTTCTGCCTGCAGGTTACTCTGGTCCTCTAAAAGAAATTCCACGTGAAAAATTCAACGTCACAGTAATTCCCAAATCTTACTGCTCACCATGGAGAGAGGCACTGGGAGACAACGAAGAGCTTCTGTCCACCCTGAACGCACAGCTACCTCAGCCAGAGAAACTCCCACCTGCTAGCTACAGATGCTTCAACAGGTGAGGGAGCAAACACACTCACACATATATTTTCTAGACTGCTTAACCTTCTGGGTCACAGGGGGTGCTGGAGCCCTTCCCAGCAGTCACTGGGCGGAAAGCAGGAAACACCCTGAACAGGTCGCCAGTCCATCACAGGGCAGACACACAGACATATTGGAGCAAACACAGAAGCAGCTTTCCAACAGCAAAGCCCGAGCTCATGTTATGTGACCTGCATGAAATTTACTAAAAGGAGAACCCCACGCAAAGTGTAAGTATAAAATATCAGCAACAGGTGCATCACTTTGAGACTGTATTCCTGAAACTATAAAAACCCAGAACAGACTTTATGAGGACTGATTGACAGTTGCAGGCATAATGACAAAGGTCCAAAGGGATATAAGCCACAGAGTCATCAGACTCCTAAGAGAGTCCAAAAAATGCACTGCATTTTGCCACCATCCATGTAGGGCTGAGGAATCTGAAGCCATTGAAAAGAAGCTCCTAAAATAACCATTTCCTCAGAGGAGGTTTATGGTAAGTGCTCTAAGGTTTATTCTCTGCAGTAACAAAAGCCAAAGGCAGATGGTGCTAAGATAAGTGACAACAGGGTTCAGCTGGAAGTTCACCACTCCGGCACATCATCCACGGTGATTATCTGTTCTAAACAGACCCACCGGAGACCAGCGCTATCAAATTATCATCTCCAGTTATCTCTGGAGCTGGAGCGGGAGCTGGCCCCTCTGTCATTTGTGTCCTTGTTTCCATGGTGTCTTCCCATATGAAATCATATCCTGGCTTGGGCATCAAGGCCCCCCCAGAGTGGATATAGTGACGAAGGACCTATTTAAACATGAAACAAGAAAGAAGAACTGCCGTGCCCCCTCTCTGCGCCTTTCACAGCCTCCAGACTGATTGCGCACGGAAAGGCATCAGGTGTCTCTGTGCCCCAACCGAAATTGCATCACTACTTTGATTTAGTGTTGAGCTGAAGTGAATATCATAATTCTCTTATGGATCATGTCTATGGAGGCTTTTATTTCCTCATCTTCTACAAATTGTCAAAGTCAAGAAAAGCCTTTGGTCTGTTGCTGTGCTCAGTGAATATGAGTATTGAATATTTTGTTTGCATTTTATTTTGTATGATAATAGTTGTTAATGGACAAATTAAGACTGTTTAGTTTTGGGATGAAAGAAATAGATTTTTTAAATGTATCCACCCAAATTCCCACACCAAATGGAGAATGACCCTACTGCAAACATGCAACAAATAAATGGCTTCTAAATTAATAAATTCTAAACGTCTATAACCTTTTGTTGGGCAGTATATGCTACACATTACATTAAACAAGTCCCTCTCTTCCCCCTCAGAGTTGCGATGCCATTCGGGGGTCCCATGCACAGTAAGAGGGTGATCCCCGTCATTGGTTTTGAGGCGCTGGAATCCCAAAGCTTGCCAGGCGTGGTGATGGACAGGATGTCCAAAAGACGCAACTTTAACAGAGCACCTCGGGGATGGGGTAGTGGATTGGTACCCGAATCCAATGAACTCTAAGCCCGCCAGGGTCAAACGCACACCTGCCTGCTGTTTACCTGTGGCTGAGAGACTGTAGCACTCACCTGTTGTGGTGTCATTATCATGGACAGTCCTACTGCAGATGGCAAAGCAGAGGTGGCCAACATTCTCCCAGATCCTAGTGCATGTTGAGATCCTAGACATCTTGAGTAGCTCTTCAACAGTAAGGTTGGCCAACCCTGCTTTGGCAATTAGTAATTACAGCCTAAAAGAAAAAAGTTTGGGTAAAAATCAAATGTACACAAGTTCCCCTTATCCCAAATGCTTTTTTAGGTTTGCACTAACACATAACGGAAGCTTGTATCCCACTAGTTAGCATTAAGCAAACCAAATGGCTCAATCACACACTCAGCCTAAACCATGTCAATGATAAGGTAATCTAAGATATAGTAGCTTGGTTTTTGACACTGTACGTCAAAGTTATCTGTAAACAGACAAAACTGTGGATGGCTGTTACTATAGCTATGCAACAAAAGGGGAAATTGTGTAGAGTTTTTATTCCAAAACTATTCATTTAAGACAAACACTGTTGTGTAGCAAAGTAAAAATGATGAATTTGCTCAATAGTTATAATTAGTTATAACAATATAACAATTATAAGATGTAATACATTTACAGAAATATCCTGACAGTCACTTTGACATTATGGCACATTTTATAACAGTGTTCACAGAGGATGCCAGACAGCATAATGATTTCTTAATAAAAGTCAGGTTTCTTTTGTCTGTTATGTTCAACAGAGTATCACAACCTCACAACAATAACAATGGAAAGATAGAAGGAAAAGAACACAAAACACAGAAGCTGACAAAGCCTGTCCCTCACAGCTGTTGGTCAAGAGTGGCCAAGAGGCATGTGTGGGGAAAGTACTGGTAACGGTATTGTTTTCCTTCCAAAAAACGAAAAGAGCATGCATAAAACAACCACAGTCTCTTTACGCTTAAAGTCACAGTTGTTTTGTGAAGTTGTGGGATTGCAACTTCACATCTTTATTTTATATTAGCAGACTAAACACCAAGATAAGACTGAAAAAGTTTCACTTAACACGATAAATGCATTGCAGAACGATACATTAGTGTGTTATTAGGGCAGTGGTATTCAAATTCAGTCCAAGTCTTGAGACTCCAATGTACCGTACAGTTTAGTGTTTCCCTGTTCTACCACACCTAATTAACCCTACTGGGTAATTATCAAGCACTCTGTGGGTGGAATCAAATGTATAAGAGCAATTAAACCTAAAAACGTGAATGTGGGGAAATCACTTCATTCACCTTAGAGACATTACATTTAAAAATGCTATTTAGGGACCAGGGGACTAGTGTATGAAATGGGTACCTTGTCTGAATCTCTACAGTTACTCACAGCAGATCTATGGCATTTTTCCACCTAGAAAGTGTGGTATGGTGGAACATGGTAGAACTAGAAATTGTGCAAACCACTGACTAGTCACATGCAACCTTCAAAGAATCATCACAGAGTTAAACAACCCCCATTTTTAAAAATAAATAAGGCTAACTAGCCAGAATTGCCTCCTGTGACTCTTGCATAACCAGACAGCAAGTAAATAAAAAAAAAAAGTAAATCATTACTTGAAGCTCCTGTGTTGTTGGTACTGCTGTGTGTTTACTGTTAACATGTGAGAAATCATGTGACCACACAAGCTAAAGAGAACTCCACCTACTTTCACATGTCTTTTTAGTAAAATAAATAACCTAAAATAGGATACAGTAATGTACTGATCACTGTGGGCTTATTATTGCTTGAATTTTGGTCTTGATAGTGCAAGAACCTTTATTTTTAATTGAAACAAGCTGACAAATATGTGAAGGTGTTTAGTTCTTCACTTTAGGTTTTATTTAATAGCTGTTTTAATTGACACTACAGGGGCAGTGAGCAAATTTACACGGTTAATTGTGTTGCTGTGCTCAGGCAAAATGAGCACTACACCCTGTTACAACTTCCAGTCTGGAAGAAAGTCCTGTTAGCACAACCTGACATCACTTCTACCCTAGCTGCTCCCACCGTACGTGTTTCTGAAGGGTCAGTGTGAATGTAATTGTGAGCCAGTAATGTGAAGCCATCAACAGTGAAACACGGTTTAGAAACAATGAGGCATTGTGTTCTGCATGAGGTCACGCTGGCCCTTCATCAAAGATCAGTCATTCACAGGAAGAGACGCTCAACAACACTGCAGTCTCAGCTGGTGCACTCTGACTCTCGCAGCCCACAGCTAACTGGCACAGAATCCAGGAGAGGTCGAGCCTCTAGTCTCCGTGGCGTGTGGCGGCGTGAGCGCCCATTCTCTGGGGGTCCTGGGACGGGTAGTGGATGTGCCCTGGTGGTCTCAAGCCCATAGGGGGAGGTGGTGGAGGGCCCATTGGATGGAACATTGGTGGTCCAAAACCTGAAGTCACAAAATACACATAATCACATCTCCAGCACTTAAAAGGATTAACCAAAAGTGTATCTATGAATAGCAGAATCGTGACTTTAACAACAATGATCCAAACATGAGTACTTTCTTCCCCACTCATGTGACATCAGCGGACTGCTTAGTCAAACTGTTGTGACAGAAGCTGGGACTTGTATTAGCAGCTGTACAACAGCACACATTTACTTTACAGCTCTTATTGTGACCAATACTATCACTGATCAACCCACTCAGTCATGTACAATTTAAACAAAAAGGTCATACAGTGCTAAAATTTTTACAACAAAGCCAATTACAACAAGCCAATTTTATCAATGTGCATATATGTATTTATAAAATGAAACAAGGACTCTTCAGAATTAAAATGGACTCATACAAAAGCTAAATTGAGTTAATTCAGTTCTGGAAACTCTGTGTACGTATGTAGTGCACTGTACCTGGTGGTGGTGGGTTGGGGAGACCAGGAGGAGGGGGCAGGCTGAGGTTCAGCACTGCAGGAGAGTTGCTGGGGTCCAGGTTAAAGTAGTTAGCTGGGGTCTCATCCTCCAAAGCTGGGGGTGGTGGCAAAGCTGAACACATACAAACAAAATGAGGGTACAGAACAGTAACAAACTATCATATCAAGCACACACACATGCAGACCAGACCCTTTGGCCCAAACAATAGCATATAAAATACACTTCCATAAATACGCCTTCCTTGTTTCTACATTCTTTGTCCATTTTATCAGGTCCACTTTGTAGTTATGCAATTACAGACTGTAGTCCATCTGTTTCTCTGCCTAACTTATTAGCCCCCTTTCACCCTGTTGTTCAAGTCACGACCACCATGTAGCATTTTAGTGTATGCTGCGCTGGTGCTGGACCACCTTTCAGACATAAAGTCAGAGACAACAGCTCATCTGTTGCCGCACAGTTTGCGTTGGTCATCCTCTAGTCCTTCACTAGTGGTCACAAGACGCTGCCCACAGGACGCTGCATATTTTTGTAACTGCAGTGCTGAGAATGATCCATCACCTAAACAATACCTTTTCTGTGGTGGTCCTATAAGAGTCCTGACCATTAAAATAAACAAGGTGAAAGGGGGACAAACAAAGTATGCAGAGAAACAAATGGAACAACTGTAGTGCTACAAAGTTACTTACCTATTTGGTGGAGCTCATAAAAAGAACAAGGAACGTGGAACAAGGAGGTGAACTTAATGAATACATACAAGCATAGCATTCACTGCAATTTTTTGGCTATGTAATATTGTGACTGGTAATGGTCAGGTCATAGCAGGCAGACAAAACAGACAGACCTGCAGGCAGACCAGGCACAGGCTCCAGTCTGGTGCCCATCTCACTGTAGCCATCTTTAGCCTCTTTGCCCTTGGCTGCCTGTGAGCGGCCCCACTTGACAGTAAGTCTGCGGCCATTGATGATGAGCTTGTTGAAGGATTTCTCAGCAGCAAGCTCAGCTGCCTGCCTCATAGCAAACTGAATAAACGCACACTGCTGTCTCTGCACTAGAGTAATGGTGCGGATCTCCCCAAACTGGTAGAAATGATTCCTGCATAATCAGAAGACAGCAAGAAAGAATGTAAGACTGATGTTCCAAACACACATGAAACACTGCTAGCATTTAGTATTACAAAATGCATCTAAAACAAAGATAGCGCTGCATATTCATAAGTAACTCAAAGCCGTTGTATTAGTAGCTATGTGAGAACACATAGACCCCATCACTTATGCATAATGCAATAATATATACTATAATAATATAACAAATTATAGTGCTTTTCAATAACCTAAAGAGGCTTACAATGGTTGTAAACACAAATAACCATAACTATTATTATTATTATTATTATTAATAATAATAATAATAATAACATAATAAACCTCACTATCATAAGCAAAGCACTAGTGTTTTGTTGCTGGTCACCTGAGCTCAGAGTCTGTGATAGTATCGCCCAAACCCCCTATGTAGAGGGTGGTGATGGTTTTGTCCTCGGGTGGGTCGAGTCTTGGCATGGTAGAGGCTCTCTTCAGCAGTTTATCAGCCACTGGGTCGTTGATGCCATAGTAACGGTCTTTAATGTTCTGATCTGCCAGTGGATCGTCAGGGTCTGTGGGTTTCTCATGCCTGATGGGATGTTGAAGACATTAGGAACATGAAAACAGCAGATCCCCCAAAACGCCCTTGAGCCTCAAACTAATCACCTATCACACTCCCAAATCTGCATGATCCAAGATATTAACATTGTTCACATTACCACCTGAATTATTTAAATACTACTGAGTATGCCAAAAAAAAATAAAAAATTGTGTTGTTAAATATAACATTGCAATACATAAACAGTTACTGAGCCGATAAGCATCCTTGTTCCAAAACCTGCTGACTGGCTGTACAAATTACATTCTGTATCTATGTTAACGTTGGTGCTTCTTGATCATTCTGCAGTCCACTCATTTATGTTTTCATACACACTTAGTTTCTTTTTGCAATTTTCAAATGCACTGAGAAAAGTATTAAAGTATTACTCAGGATTCATTATCAAAGTCATGGTACTGGTAATGCTACTGAACAAAATCACATATAATGACTGCATTAAAATCTGTTTATCGTTTCACGTTACTTCATTGCATTTAATCTGCATTCTGCTCAGATTAAAAGTGTTGCAGAAAAAAATGTCTCAGTTATATCTCAGCTGTGAAACTGAACAAGGAGCTTTTTATTTCCGAGCTATGCTGTCGGCAACTTGATAACACAAGATAAAGTGCTTATGAGGGTACATGTGAACCTGTATGACCCCTTTTCCTTTTTGGTCTTGGTACTTGTAAAGTTCTTTACAATAAACACTACTGCATCTGTCGCGTTTTAAATTCGGCACCATGCGCCAACTAGAAACCCCAGGAAGTCTATTTAGAAACATATGAGTCAGCCACGTTGGCAATGGCCTTCATTTAATGTTCACAACCAATGTTCTCGATTTGCAGCTTCTTTAATTTGCAGGCAATAGACTGCACATTACATTTCAATGGACAACAGACTGCACAAAGCCTTTGGATGCTAAATGAGCCAAATACACTCTAATGACTTTATAATGTTCTCATTTCATCTTAGCACTAATGATAAAAAGGGTGTTTAAATTTAAGGGCGTATTATGAAAATCAAGTACAGAATAAGAACTAGTCTTGCCTTTGTTTTTTTGTTTTGTTAATGCCATGCATTTAATATCCAGCTGAACATTGCCACCATGTGGATTACTGCAGTCACTTTACTCCAGAAAGCTCTCAAATCTTTTTCCTCCTATGTCTTATGATAAACATTGTTTCATTTTTCTTTAGGATATATTATATTAACACCACAAGGATGCCACTCCACCAAATTATCACATCAACAGGAATTGCATGAGGTAAGAAAAACAAACAAACAAAAAGTCTTAAAATCTGCTGTTTAACAGCAAACACCCCAGCAAGAAGGCTCTCACTGGACGGAAATGCAGCTAAAACTTAATTACACGAATTTAATTAATGATCTTCCATAAAAAGTACTTAAAGTGTAATGAGAGAGATCAGGATGCACTTCTGAGACTGCATAAGCCTTTACCTTAAGGTAATACTACAGCATTTTTGTGCTGTCGATTTCCAGAGACAATAAGAAAAGGAACAAAAAAACTAAAAGAACTAAAAAAAAACCAAAATAAAAAAAAACTAGAAAACGTAAGATAACGATTACAGCTTTAACCCTGTCAGTAATGGTGAATGTCTGGAAGGATAACACTCCTGACTGCTCTCACCTGTACGGACACTCCTCTCCTCTCTTACACTCGCCCTTCACCCAGAAAGAGCAGATGTGGGGGCGGTTTCTCTTGTAGTAGGGGGTGGTGCGAGCCAGCTTCAGCAGCATGTCGCTGGAGCTGGGCGCTTTGCCCAGCAAACCCACTGGCCGTGTGCCATCTGAGTTTTGGATCTGAGACAGGAATGTTAAATAAACAGGCCTTTCAGTTTTGGGATCAGAAATAAGTAACAAGACTACACTTTGGGATGCTAACAAGTGGTTACCTGCTTTAGCAAGTTGGGTTCAATACAACACTAATTAATATGAACGTTTACATTCTGAGTGCCTGTTTTCAGGATTCTGAGCAAGAAACAGCAGATAATTTAGAAGTCTAAATAAACCTCACCTCTCTTTCCATGTTCTGTGTATAATACTCCTTGTTGACGTCTGATTTTGGCATGTCGTCTTTGATGGACAGTCCGGCATCCCTCACCTGGATGGGAAGGCCTACGCATGGAAGGAGTAAAAAGACAAGCGTACGACTCATATACTAGAACGGCAACTTAAGTACATAAACACCCTCAACTGTCAGGTGGGAACATAACCTGGATTTGCTTCACCACCACAATGGAACTAGTTTTCCTCCTGAAGGAAGGTGTGAGGTTGTATTAAATGGATGGATGGATGGATGGATGGATGGATAATAAAAGTTTCACCTAAACCAGCTGGTGATTTAAATGGATACGCCCGGAACATGATGAAATTACACTGCACACACATCACAGCACAGGACTCTCATTCCAGAAGTTTATTAGGAATGGCACCGAAGAATAACTGTTTCATTACACTTCACTACACAGCTATTATCTACAGGGTCCAGTCTTGTAGCGTTATTGCCATCTGAAAGCCACTACTGGTGCTGTAATAAAGCCCACTCAGTAAATCCATTGATAGTAATGAGGACTTCTTTAGTTACACACTATTATTCTGGCCATTCACTTACTTGAAACAACGCATGCGTGTAACATCCACTTCGCATTTTTAAATATCAGCTACAGACAACTTCTACTGTATGCAAAAAGATGCACACATTTATAATCAGATAGTGTTGTTTAATTCTCTTATAATTCTCTTGTATGTTTTATGGCTCCTAAAATGTATGCAGCTTGCACCTCCTTTTGTTTCCACTCTAACTGCAATTTTCACTGGAATTAGTAAAGGATCAATTAATCAATCTTTCTAGACTGAACCAATAAAAAAAGGCTGATACAACACAGATTTTAAGGGACTAAACCTTCAGATAACCAATAATACCTGGCAATCCAATTTTATATTCATATTTTAATTTCATGCTCTAACAGTTTTAGTTAGAATATGAAAACTTATTGGATTTGTAGACCGATATGACTGTCAGTTGTCAACTGTGAACTATGAAATTTATCCGTCAGTTCACAGTTATAGTGCTTCTTAAACCCCAACAGCAGAAACTCACAGTTCTAATATAAATATGTATAAATATTTCTTTGCAGTTTTGGTTTCTGTTAGTTATCTTTTATTTTCCAGTTCTTGTCAAAGAAAAATGTTGAGGGTTAGGTTTGGATACATTTAGTTTTTGTTATTGTAACCAAGGTGTTTTGTGACCTGTTCAGCCTGGGTTGCTGACATATAGTTAAAAAAAAGAGGTAACTATATCGAGTTCCCCAGTGACACAGCTATCTGAGGTTTCAAGTCTGAAACCTCACACTGCTTATCAGCACTTCACCCATAAAACCATGGGCCGTCAATATCAGCTGATGCCATCAGCAAACCAGAACATCAGTCTGGCTGTAGTATCTATGATTGAGCAGAACTGAGAGGAGGCAGTTTTGACTAACTCACCGTACTCCAGATCCAGCAGGCAGGTCTGACACACGTTCTTCATCTTGCTGCACGTCTGACACACCTCTGTCTTCTTAAAGCGCATGCGCACACCAGGACACCAGCGGAACACGGTGAAGGGCCGAGCGCATATCTGAGGACAAGAGGGTACTGCTGTTCATGTCTTATCACTCTAGCTACACATGGGAAACAACCCCTAAAACAATTTACCTATTTAAGCTTTATTCTAAAATATTTAATTTTATTTTAAAGCTGTTAAAGTTACAGTTGCATGCAACTAAAAGATACTCAAATTAAAACCAAGAGGCAACCCTCTAGAAACTTCAAAGCGACACTCACCTTACATTCTTTGCCATACTTCTCTTTGGTCTTTGGAACGAAAGAAAAGGAAAACACAAAAAAAATGTTCATGATAATCATATCATAATCATGGGATTATTGGGCTACTTGCTGGAATGAACCCACTCACCATGCGAATGTAAGGATTTTCCCCTAAACATGTTTGGCAGAGAATAGGGAAGTCCTGTGGGTATAAAAACACAATGTCAGACCTATGAACGATGTGATACTTCACAGGTGAATACAGAGATGTGTGCAACACAGTACAGACCTCATTTACATTAGTGACAGTCTGAAAATCTGTCACCCTGACCTGGGGGAAATATAACTGACTGACTGTCAGGTACTCCCTAACGTGTTTTTTTAGTCCAGGGGCTGACGTTGTCTACTGCCCGATGCCCCTGTCCAAAATATTTCACATTTGGCCATTAAAAATGAAGAGCCTCTGGCCCAAGTGGTCACTTACCTTTGACATTTTTTTTTTCTTTTTTTTTTCCCCATTTAACAAACCACCCAATCAACTGAATTTTCACACAGTCACAAATATCCACCATTAACAACAAAACAACTACTTTTTATCCTCCTGCGCGAGATCCAGAGCCTGTTTGGTTGGACATAGTTGTAACTGCATCAAATCAGATTTTGACACAACTCTCCAGCTGTAACCACCATTATAGCTAAAGTGACTGCAGTGTTTTTAATAATGCAAATATATGTTTGTTTATAAATAAGTCATAACATGTCTATTATTACAAGCTTGAAACTGTAACAATAAGAAACTAACTTTAGTGCTACATAAAGCCATTTTCAGAAATAGTCCCATACAGAACCATTTACAACACATTCTTCATCAATGTGAAGAACCATTTCACCATGCAAAGAACCTTTAAGGATGTAAATGGTGCTATAACTACAGAACTCAGTGTTCTGAACAGAACCGTTCCCTTTTAGCTACTGAAGAGCCACTGAAGAACCATCTTTTAAGAGTGCAGCATCTCGAACAGCTGGAGACAATAACACTGAGGTGCGCTGTTCAACCAAAGCACTGATGTCAGCTAACGATTAGCTAGCTTAGCTTAGCTAAGCTAACGTTACCTGCTGCGTCCACTGCTGTATCCAAGTGAACTTACGTCACTCAACTATAATATAATATATAATATTCTTTACTGAGAAAACCTAACAGGTTAAATCAGTGACTGTCTTCTTTAGCTAAACCACCTAACCTAACGTTGGCTAGCTTAGATAACATAAAGCCGAAGTTAGCTTCTTGGTCCACTTTCCCGTTCCACCTTAAATGCTTGGTCAGTCGCATTCCGTCTCCTTAAAGGCGCCAGGATGTTAGCGAACTGCTGGACCATTTAAGGTGGACCGGAATATTTGAAGCTAGCTAACTTCAGCCTCGTCTAGCTAAGCTAATCAGCTGGTAGCCAAACAACGTGCGGCTGTGAAGCCAAGCCGTCATTCAGCCCCGTTTTTCAGTCCGTTTAACCCAACGACGAAATAAAGACACCAGCGGCAGTGAAGGCGAGCAGACCGGCTGTCCTGTGAGTGAAAATATCACCGCTCAGTCGTACCGAGTCCTCCCAGTTCTGTCTGTTGTACGTGTTTGATCCTAAAGACGTCGCCATCAGTGCAGCCTCTCCGATAGGAACCGTGAAGAGCGGCGCAGCGCAGCCTTTCCTTTCAGCACGGCCGCAGGAAGAGTCTGCTTTTCAAAGTAAAAGACTGACGGGCAGTCGTTCAATTACATTTTGACAAATATACTGAGGTCCTCGCACACCATGTTCTCGTATCTACCATCAAGTACCGGACCGACACAGTCAGTAGTTCACCATAATTTTTGTTTAATTTGTAACGTTCACTGCTATTTAAAGAGACACCGCTTGCGCACAAGTCGTGGTGCTTAATTCTCCCGCTGTTGTTGGCCACAGCTAACTTACACCGTACAAAAGTAGAGTTTTCTCTAACAGGCCAAGAAGAAAATAGTTTAAAAGCTCTTAAAATATAACAGCAGTGTTAAATGTTTTATGCTATTCAGTGTTCAGGATAAAAGCATTCTTTCACATTAAAAATATTTAAGCATTTGTAAACTATGATTTTGCTTAAATGCTCCATCATTATGGACTCGACTCTATCGTTTAAGAAACTCGGAAGACATTGCGGAGTGGTAATTCTCTTCTCTACACGTTCTCTGCCCTTGCTACTTAGCTTATCTTAGCTTAGCTCTTTTTTTCTTTCAGCTTTTCTTTTTTATATCAGAAAACTTGCCTGCAAAACACCAGAGGGCGCCCGCGAGCGAGTCCTCAATGAATTGGGGTGAATGGAGCTAACCGGCTAAAAATTAGCCATCTAACGTTAGAATAGTTTCTAATCACTCACCCAGAACTTCCCTTTAATTTTAGAAAGTAGAAGGGTGTATTTCACTAAAAAGCAAAGAAAACTTACCTGTGCATTTCCTTTTTTCTACAGCAAACGGGTTTTAGGCAGCAGGACGATAGCATTACTGCTACTGAGTACTGACCGGTTGGCGAGCGAAGCAGCTCATTGGCTGTTTGCGTTCATTGACGTCAGGAACATACATGAGGCGCCGTTTTAGACTTCTATAACTTCTCATAATTAAATTAAAAAGTTCTTAAAAATCTAACAGCAGTGTTAAAATGGTTTCTGCTGTCCAGTGTTCAGGAAACTAATGTATCCTTGTACATTAAAAATGTTTAAGCGTTTATAAACTATGATTTTGCTCAAATGTCATCATAACCCATTCATTTTGGACACACTCGGGAGCACCCTCTAGTGTTTGAGAAACCCGGGAGACATTCTCTGAGCAAATTCAAATTCTCTTAGCTTACCTCTTTATCTTTACCTCTTTGGAGTGCTGTCAACTCTCAGCTCGATAATGTTAGAAGTCTAAACAATATGTAGTGTGTTCATTAAATGTCTTTTTAAATGTTTGTATAGGTTATTAGTGAGCTGGAGTGTGTTTGTCATCCACAACTAATCACTCAACATCAGTACCTGACCTCACTAATGCTCTTGTGGCTGAATGCAATCAAATCCTCACAACAATGTTCCAAAATCTAGTATAAAACCTTTCCAGAAGAGCAGAGGCTGTTACTGCAGCAAAGGGGGATAAACTCCATATTAATACCCTTGATTTCAGAATAAACACTGGATGAGTGGGCGCCTACAAGCTTCTAGACATACAGTGTACATCTACTACAGCCCTTCTTAAGTAGGCTAGAAACATAATTACAGGTAATTGGGTTTTGGAAAACTATAGATGAGAGGTTTGTGTGTACACACCATCACACACGGCATAAGTAGACATAAAAGAAATAAAAACAAGAAAAAAAAAGTAGGCTAGGGGCCCTTTAAAGGACACTTGTCCGACATTGCTACTGTTAGAAGTTCAGGACATTTTGTAATCAATTGTAGGACTTTGTCTATAAAAGAAAATTCCCATTCCCAGATAGCCTTGTTTGATTCTGATGTCAATCACTGAGACTTTCCTCCAGAAAATCACATTTAATTTCAGTCATGTACATCTTTTTACGTGAAGCACATATATACTGCAAAACAATTCTTCTGAATAATTTGAATATTTCCCTTTGACTTTATCAGATACATTCCCCAGCACACACATACATATCCAGAGCGTGATGGAAGTGGCACTACACTGCTCGACAAACAATCAAAGTTTCACAAAACCCTTCATACCAAAAAGTCAGTATAAATGATAACAGTGGGACTTGGATATCAGACAGTGTTTACAAAACGTTACTGTACACAACAGATTTTGTATTATTTTGTGCATATAACATCTTGGAGTGATCAGATAAAACAGTACCAAGTACATCCTTAATTAATTTAACCAAACAAAAGCAAAAAAAAAAAAGTTGATTCTAGCTGCATATTGACCCAGCTCTTCACATCAGGCACATACAAAGCATCTATAAAATTCAATGTCATCTCTGTACCTTTACACTATTCATCAATAATAAAACCATATAAACAAGCTATGCTGAGCTTTGTTTCTTGTGAACATATTCATCAGATCTGGGTGTAGCCGTAGGAATGCGAGCTAAAGATCCTTCTTGAAATAGAGCAGCAAATGACATAAAATAATCACACACTTGATATAAATATTTTATGAACACATGGCTATGTCCATGCATATTGCAAATATATAGCACAGTGCCCAGTGGCACCACTACTGTGGCTGCATGGGTACCAGTACAGTCAACTATAGCCTAATAGTTAGCAGCACTTCTGACTGTGAACCAATCAGGGCCCCAAAAACAAAATAAAGCTTTAAGAACGAATTGACTTTTCAGGACGCATACATCATCAATACTTGCTACACCGAGGCTACCTTAATGGCTATGCTAACAGTGGTGGCCCTTTTGTTTATGTGATACCTGCAGCTTAAAAAGAGTGATGAACTGCAAAAATGATATATTTTTAAAGTGAAAACATCTTAAATGGAGGTGATACAGCTACTATTTCTCAATATGAGGTGGTAAAAATATAAGATCATTCAACCAAAAGTATAGAGAGACATTTTCTCCAATTTATATATATATATATATAGGAGAAAATGTCTACACTTATGGTTGAATGATCTTATATATGTGTGTGTGTGTGTGTGTATTGTTGATTTCCTAAGTTAACACATCCTCCACAAAAAACATTTTTAATGCACAATTATTGTTTATTTGCTGAATTTAACATACTGGGGAAATACTCAAACTGTGGCCCGTGCAAAAGTTAAGGCACATTCAACGTTTATGCCCTCCCTGCCCCAAATATGTTAAACTCAGCAAATTAATAAAACTGTGCTCCAAAATGTGCAGGAAAAATGTCAAGTTTGTTCCCTGTACAACATTTCCTTTTACTTTTTCTTACACACTCAAAATAAAAAAAGTCATATTGCCTCAGTTTAAGATGGTTTTCACTGCTTAATATATAATTTTTTGCAGTGTTGAGTTTATCTGTGAAAGTGGGCTGAATGTCAGAACCTCCAAGGCAGAAGGTAAGCGATCACGTTGGCACAGTTTAGCACTCAAGCAATCTTTGGCAGTCATTTTGAAAAAAAAAAAGAAAATCTTTAAAAAGTTTTTTCGAAAATGCCCAAGAACTTTCCAAATTTTCTTGGGCAAATCTGTATCAAGTGTTAGAGAAAATGTCCCTTATAAAAAGTCTCCAGCTACCCATCTACTGCAGCAACCTGAGGTCGTCCCAAACATCAAGCCGACTGTGAGGTATGATGTTCTGGAGGGTAACTAGTGAGACGGTGGATTTCTCCTTCTTGATCCGGTGTTCTCTTTATCCCCATGTACATGTGGAAAGGCAGTGGAAGTGTGGCGTGGAGAAGGCATGGCTCCTCGCTGAGGATGGCTCTTCAAAGGAAAACCTAAAAGTATTAATGTAGCTAACAAAGGATGAAAGTTAGTGAGGACCAGTTAGCATGATATTATCTTCACGATGGTAACTGACTCCTATTTGCTTTCATTCGGCGCTAGTATTTGTTTACTACTACAGGATCAGAATCACATGTGAATTTTGGAATAGAGCTGGTCGATCTGCTGCCTGAAGTGGTTTCTGAGCTCAGTGCGCTTGGCTTTGAGGGTTGGAGTGAGAAGGCCATTTTGGACAGAGAACAGTTCTGTGTGCAGAGCAATGTCCTTCACCTAAAACACAGAGGATCAGATTAATATTAGCCTTCAGGGTTTTATTTAAAAGGTAGTTTATCTTTAATGTGGGAATGTTAACAGAAAAAAAAAGTATTTCACATGCCACTGAAATAATGCAAATCCTGTTATATGTCACAATAAAGCTCACCTGTTCAAAAGACTTCAGCCCACTTTGTTTGCCCAGTTTAACAATATCCTCCAAAATGGCATCTTTCACTGCCTGCAATTAAATAAGAAAAAGCATTTTTTTCCCCCAATCCCATCTATTTCACAAGGACGTGCACACAAATAGTATTAGTAAATGTCTTGGAAGAGGGTTTCCAGACACATTTGTAAGCCTAACTGTAAACCAAAATTGATTTTCAATGCAGAATCTATATTTACAGTACCTTAGTCCAAGGTAATGCTTAACATCTAAAAAAAATCTTATACAACAATTTCCAACTGATGTGCAAATCATCTCATTACCTTGTTGTTGCAGAGCTCCTCATAAGAGCCATGAAAGCCTTTCTTACTGGCCCAGGCAGGCAGGAAGTCCGGGTCAGGCACAATGATGGCCACCAGGCAGGCCTGTTTAAGAGAACCAACAAACACATGTTCATTTCTCTGCTATGGTCAATAAGGACTACGGTAGGGGTTCTCAATCCTGGTCCTGGAGATCTACCACCCTGGAGAGTTCCAACAGGTCCAACACACCTGGCACTAATATTCAGATGCTCCTGAAGCCCTTCTTTACATGGTCAGGTGTTTATCATGATGTGACGAAAACATTTACATATATCCACCTTTTCAGCCTACATTAGTTTAGCGCAGCCCCTTCATGTTAAAGTTATAAGGAATGTTTTAGTCTAGACTACTTTTTGAGTGAGGAACAACACAAGGCAGACAATCAGAACAGAGCCCTACCTATCAGTCTCAAAGGCACAGTAACAAAAAAAAAAAACCAGCCTGTTTTCTAAGTGATGATGAGAGGTTTGGAAAATGATCATGTAAAAATGGACTTTGACTGTTTTTGATACATAAACCCAACAAAAGTGGACCTGGAAAAAAATAAAGTTCAAGAAAAACAAAATGCAGGACGCAGGCCTTGAAACTCTGCAGGGTGCCAGATCTACAGGACAGGGACTGGATACCCCTTTTAAGTTCAGATAAGGTAAATGAATAAAGCTATTGGGGATCAGATAGCAATGTGTTGTGACTGGCTCCTCTGTACTTGTAGAAGTGCATGTTGCAAGATTCTGCTTGCAATTTTTTATCACTAACGCACCGCAATGTATTCAAATTATCTTTAGAAATATTCTGACAAAATGTAACACTGCATTTCATTTTCATAAGACAGCATCTTTCCATCTCACCTGTAAGCTGTCCCCATGAACAAATGCCTGTACAACAGCTTCACTCCTGATGTAAATGTTCTCAATCTTCTCGGGGGCGATGTACTCTCCCTGAGCAAGCTTGAAGATGTGCTTCTTACGGTCAATGAGCTTCAGAGTGCCGTTCTGTTCGCAGGTAATTAAAGACAGACTTCAGTTCAGCAGAAAAGAAACATGGTATAATCAACTGTGTCAGGATTTGTACACTTTAATATGTATGAAACAGAAGCACAAGCACAGAAATGAACGTTTCATATTCAGCCTAGTGTTCCTGCAAATTAAACTGCATATAAAACAGCAGGGCCACTATATGTGTCTCAAACTGCTGTATATCAGGGGGACCCAAATTCAGTTCTGGGGACCCCATGTTCTGCACACTTATGTGTTTTCCATACACATGATCTGATCCAGCCAATGAGGAACATGTTAATTAGTTAATGTGCTTAATCAGGTGTGCTAAGCAAGACAAAGCACAAACATGTGCATAGTGTGGGGTTGCTAGGATTGGAAACCCCTGATCTACATTACAATCATGCAAGGCATGCACGCTCCTGCATAACTCTGGCTGCGTTCTGAAGGACCTGCTGTATCATAATTTGGCAATGGTCCAGCCAGCCTATATAAACACGGTCACTTTCTATGTTGAGCGGGTCAGCATGACATCTGTGAACCGTGCGCACAACAGAGAAATAATGGTCAATGCTTCAGACGCAAGGCTGACCTCCTGGTCCTGCTTCTGATGAAGGAAGAGGGGTCTAAAAATTCTACAGTTCATTTTCAACTTAGCCTGACTTTGGCTGACTTCTCATGGTCTATGTGAACTGCCGATGACTGCAGGGGTGGGTATAAAAACACTGTCATCAAGTCGGACACATTCTACTTCCTCTTCTGAGCTCACAACCACGGCTGATCTGGATGTTTGATGTTGGTTGGTGGACTATTCTTAGTCCGGGAGTGACATGGTGTTTTAAAAACTCCAGCAGCGCTGCTGTGTCTGATCCACTCATACCAGCACAACACACACTAACAAAAAAATCGCCAGGTCAGTGTCACTCCAGCGCTGAGAATGATCCACCACCCAAATAATACCTCTGGGGTCCTGTGGGGGTCTTGACTATTGATGAACAAGGTAAAGAAAGACTAAGTTCATCTGTTTACATAGGTAAACAGATGAACTACAGTCTATAATTTTAGAACTACAAATTGTTCCTATATGGTAAGTAGACCTGATAGATGGACAAAGAGTGTAGATACAAGGCAAATGTACTACCAAATAAAAACCCCATGTATCTCCATGTTTTTGTCTACATTGTTTGAGTACAGCAGTTGCCCTTTACATTGTGTCAAAATTCATGATGAATGGATCAATAGAACTGGTCTGAAATTAGCTGTGAAAAAATGTCTTTGCCTTCTCTTATAGTTAGAGCTTTGGAGATATTTGGGGTTTTTGGACAGCAACAATATTATTAACTTACAGCAGGGCTACTGAGCAGTTCATTCAATATCTGAGTGTGAATAAGTAAAACTCACCGGCATCCACGTGCCGATGTCTCCTGTGTGGACCCAGCCGTCCTGGTCGAGGGCCTCCTCAGTCTTCTCTGGGTCTTTCAGATATCCCTTAAACACATTAGGCCCCCTCACACAAACCTAGCACACAACACACACATTGAGGAAATGGTAAAATGGGTAAAAACAAAGATAACTCAATGTTAAACTGGTTATTAAGGGCCGGTGTTGCAGACATGGATTAAGCTTAGTCTTGGACTAAACTGCAGTGCCATTGGTGAAGTGCTATTCTTAGTCTAGGCTTAGACTTAATCTGTGTCTGGGAAACTGGCCTTTAGCTTGACTGATACACACACCTCTCCTTCTCCATTCACAGCCAGATAGTTCATCTCAGCAACATCCACCAGCTTCACATGGTTACAGGGCATAGGAGGTCCAACATGACCTATAGCACATCATTCCAGAAATATAAACCAGAATTCAACAAGACGAGATCAAAAGAAACTCGAAATATACATTAGAGGATGTGTGTAGGTTTACCTCCAGTCCAGTCTCCTGACATTGTAATGGAGCAGCCAGCAGTGCACTCAGTTTGTCCATAACCTTCATAAAACTGAGCAGGAATAAGATAGCGTTACATTGAATGTTGCCAGATCAGTTACATGAAAAAGTAACAAACACAGTATGTAATATTGCTTGAAATACTTTTGTTGCTTTTAAACAATGAAATGTGTACTTGATATGTAATAATTTACTACAGAAATTCCAGTCAGGTTTTCACCCTAATCATAGTACAGAGACAACACTGGTCCATTTTGCATTTTGTAAATGACCTAAGGCTTAGTGCTCATTCACATAAACCATCTACTCTTGTCCTACTCAATCTCAGTGCAGCATTTGAAACAGCTGATTACTATACTCTGGTCCATCGACTTAAAAACTGGGTAGGCCTCTGGGTAGCTGGATAAGTGATTAAGTGACCCTTATTAGTCCCACAACGGAGAAATTTCACCTCCGCCTTTAACCCATCCATGCAAACGCTACACACACACACACACACACACACACACACACACACACACACTAGTGAATGCACACACACTAGGGGGCAGTGAGCACACTTGCCCAGAGCAGTGGCCAGCCCTATCCACAGGGCCCCGTGGAGCAGTTGCTCAAGGGCACTTCAGTCACGTACCATCGGCTCAGGGGATCAAACCGGCAACCTTCCGATCACAAGGCTGGTTCCCTAACCTCATAGGCTGGAGAAAGCTTTGGAATGGCTAAAATTATAAGCACGCAAATTCTTGGTGTGTTTGGAAATCACTTATCTAAAAACGTTAAAGCTTCTTTTTGGAGTTCACAGGATTCTGTTGAAGAAATTTAATCAAGGTACAAGAGATAAACTAAATGTAAAATGTATACAGCTCTGCTGATGCTATGCAATTATTCCCATCCACCCTGAAAGTCAAGATTTTGTCAACAGGCTGATAAATAAATCAGATATTTCTCAGAGGATTTCACAAAACTATCTGCAGCTTAATCAGGACGATAGGAGATGCTGATACTTGGTACTAAATACCAGCAAAAAAACTCATTTTTGAGAAAGTAGGCTGTTTTGTATAATGTCAAACCTGAAGCATGAGTGAATTTTAGACTCTGTCCCCAGTTTTATAACTCATTTTAATAATGTTACTAAGGTTGCATTGTTTTATTTAAGGAAAGTTAGGCTTTTTTTAATCCCAGAGCCATACAGAAAAACTTAAGGTCTTTTTAGTGGGCTTCCCAAGAAAACAAATCCTCTACAATTTGTTCAAAACGGAGCAGCACAGATCCTAACTTAACTTTGTTTAACTTATCTTTCACAATTAGGCAATCAATTCTGGTACACCATCTTAGAAAACATTAACTTAGCTTTGATTTTTGACCTCTTATATTATTCTTATATTATTACTGACATTGTTATTTTGTGTGATTCTGCATGTTGGGCTGCTACAGGACCAAAAGTGCTCTATAAATAGTTTAAAACAATATTTATTATTGTTAGAATTACTACACCTTCGGGTGAATCAGAATGTGACTCCTTTCGATTTCTTATGCTTTAAATTCAGCTCATGTTTAAGTGCAAGTCAATTTATGCTGCATGCAAAAAACAGAATATAGTTTGAACATAGTTTGAATTTGTATTTGTCTCTGTATTAAACAGTTTCAGACAGTGTGAGTAATCAGCATGTTTTCTAATCTGACCTGGCAGCCCAGCGCTGCACGCAGGAAGGTAAGCACAGAGGCAGAAATGGGAGCAGCTCCGGTCATCATCAAACGCACGCAACCTCCAACACTGGCCTGCAGTGGGCAGCAGAAACACCATTTTTAGAGACAGATGAACAAACGACTTTATGAAACTGAACAAAGCAACACATTTACGTTAAGCTTTCTCCCAGAGAATCACATTCTTACCTGGACTTTCTTAAAGATGATTTTGTCCCAAAAACTGTTTCTCCTCATAATACCACTCATCATCTCAGCCTCTTTCCTCCGGAATGCAAAATTCAGGATCCACTTCTTCAGTGGAGTATTGGCCTGTCCCAGTATCTGAAATACAGACAGACACCGCTCATTCATTTTTACATACTTCAACCAGATATTATTAACCATCACAATTTCATTATGATGACTAACTATTCACACGTTTCTCCTGGGTCTTTTTCTGGGTCTACTGAAAAACCCAGTATCCCTCAGTGTGGATTTTACAACTACGATGTTTCTGTAGGTTTCTAGAACAGTCTAGAGACCCACACATGACCAGTGTAGGTCTGTTTCTTGCATGTGTTCTTGCATCTAATCGCCAACCTTGTCAAACATGCGGTTGAGCAGACGAGGCACCACTGGGAAAACAGTAGGCCGCAGGGTCGTGAGGTCATCCATCAGTCTTCGGATATCTCCTTGGAAATAGCCGATACGACCCCCATGGACCAGTATCACACCCTGAAAAAGACGAACACATTAAAAATGTGTCTTTTAAGGAAAGTAAAGGTATCACTCACAGTCCACCTTGACAGCGTTGCTTTGTTCCTACTTATAATTAATATTTTGAATGCCAGGTTAGTATACAGAACCAGTAAACTTATTTTTGAAGCATTTTAGGGATGTTTTGCCATGCCGTTCTAAGCTTTTAGGTTAAATCCATCACAAAATATGCTGTTTGTACCTGCACCACTCGCTCAAACATGTGTGCCAGAGGTAGGTAAGAGATGTGTGTATCACTGGGGCCAAGGGGACAGCTGGTCTGGAAGAAAAGAGAATTTACATTGTTATATTTTAGCATAAACGTTTAGTCCTCAATAATTCTGTAATAAGGAAGATAAGCAGACTACGTACACTCATTTTTGGATATTGTTCAGGATGAGTGTAGAGATCTGTATTCTGACTAATTTTGACATTGATTTTCGAGTATCCATGAGAGTCAAATAAACAGATATTCTGTAAACCACATGGGGAAAAAACATGCTTTTCATCTGAAGAACTTATTCTGGTCAAAATGTTCACACGGAAAGGTGCTTCAGTACTTGTGTGACTGTCACTAGTAGTAATAGTCATAGCCCTGGTCAATTGCTGTAGCCTTCACTATTATAACAGTAGCATGGAATCATGTGTAATACGGCATCCTTTGTAGTGCAAAGTATATTTAGTTGGGGCATTAAAACAATCTGTATGGCTTGTTTTCATTTTTTCACGAAACTTACAACTTTCACCAGAATCCCACTGGTAACGAAAGACAGTAAAGGAGGAGAGTGGAGTAGCGAGAGAAGAGAAAAGTCTAAGTTTTGCAGCTGTATTTACCTCGGTAATCTTCACAAAGGCAGAAACATTGGACACAATGTTTCTGTGGGTGAGCATTGCCCCCTTTGGGTTTCCTGAGAGAGAGAGAGAGAGAGAGAGAGAGAGAGAGAGAGAGAGAGAGAGAGAGAGAGAGAGAGAAATAGACAGACAAAGAAAGGAAAAGTTAAATAGGCAGAGTTAATGATCAAAAGTATATTGATCTGAATTTATTCACCACATGCATATATATACACACACCTGTGGTTCCACTGGTAAAGCAAATAATAGCCAAGTCATCAGCCTGAGGAGGCTGCAGAACAAAAACAGAAACAAAGGTCACCAGGTCACACTCAAGTTAAACACAGACCCCTTCAGAAAAACACACAAACAAAGTCCCATCATCAGACACAACAGTGGAACAGAGAGACAGAGACGATGGTGAACTTACTGTGGGCTGCTGCCGGTGCGCCTTACCAAGTGCCTACAGAAGCAACACATACAGTCATTAATTTAGTGAAAGAGAGGTAAGAAGGGGAGAGACAAACACACACAGAGAGAGAGGAAGGAAGGAAGCAGTGGTTACAGACATGATCTGTGTGGCAGACAAACTGCAAACAAGGGCCTTCAGGCAAGACCTGAAAGCCACAGATCTACAAAGAGCAACTTCTGCAACAGGCCGTAAGAGGAAACTGCCACACAAGGGCAAATCACTCATATCGAAACTCTACATGGCACTTATAAACCCTGAAGTGCTTATAATGTCTATCAATCCAGACCAATAAACTCTTACATAAACTCATGAGATATTACATATGAACTACAGTACTGATTAAGACTGGGTGATATGGTTGGAAACCCTATCACAAAGTATTTTATTATATGCTGACATTCAATTTGAAGTAGGGATGCACCAATATGGGAATTGTGAGCCAATGCTGATATCCAATGTTTTAATGTAAGCAACTGTCAACGCAGATGCCAACACAGATGTATTTATAAAATGTAGTAATTAGGACTAAATTGCTGTTTTTTGTTTTTTAACTTCTTCCAGTTTTCCTCAAACCCATGGATTTTTTTTATTGTCTATTATTTCAACACTGAAAATATGTCATTAGCTAACTCTGCTAACAGGCCTAGTTTGCGATGTGAGTGAGTGAAGGGCCAGGATACGGGTGCACACTGCCTTCTGGTGTAGTGAAGTAGCAACTTGTGGCCTCTTATTCCTAAAACAGTGCTTTTCTTTCTCCTATAAAAGTTATTCTTAATTTGAATGCATGTTAATGTAAGGAAATAAGTAGTTTTAGACCATTTCTATTTATCCATTCATCATGAAACATTCACAGAATATAAAAGTCGACTGGCCTTTTTTTAAGGCATTTTTACAACTCAAAATTCAGACTAACGTTCATGTTTTTGTTACACTCTATACATCACCAAATAAACGCCCTTGTCGTGCAAAACTTATATCTTCGCCAACAGGTAAGGAGGCATTTTAGGTCTCGCCAGTTTTATGCGTATTTTCCCAAGTTGCCTTTTGACTTTTTAATCGGACCAAATTACAATTAAACGCTTCGTCTCCTCCTCTCCCCATGTGCTACCATGGCTCATTTTTACTTCTATTAGAGATCTTTTTCTTCTTCTTTGGTTAAATAGATGATAACAGGCCTCAACTTCTTGTGATTGGTCCAGAAGTTCAAACCACCCCAAAAAAAAGCGTCTTCATGACCGAGACCACCTCTTTTGATCAGACCCAATTTTAGTGTGGTTGTATGGCCTGTGGTCCGAGGTCCCTTTCACACCTGCTATTTGGTTCAGATCCAACTGAAGAGTCTGAAGGTCCGAACATCAAAGCATCCAAACTTCATTTTATAGAGAAAACTTCCAACATGCATTATCAATACTAAAAAATATGAAAAATTAAAACATGATTATGATTTATGGTTCCTCTACTCGCCTCTGCCTCCTTGAGGCTGATGATCTCCACGCCGCACTTCTTGGCTCGAGCCACCAGTTCCGAATCAAAGTCCTCTATCAGGACCAGTGTCTGCAATGTGTGTGCCCTGCCCGATATGCAGTCCAGCAGCAGACAAGCCTTTGCCGGCACATCGCACACCACCGTGGAGATACATGCTGAAACACAAACGTGCAAACACGCACTACGTAAACTACAATCACCAAGAAATGCAAATCACATCAGCTTACAAGTGAAAAAACAGCTCCCACTGCTGATAAACAAGGGACCTACTCTTCTCGATGATGTAGTCGATGGCCTCAGCGCCCAGTGTGTCATACAGAGGTACGGCTACCAGCGAATATGTGTAGCAGGCCAGCTCTGCGATGGTCCACTGTGGAGAAGAAAAAAATCCAGCATAGTTTTAGGCCTGGCAAGTCTTTGGAGGGAGTTCCAGGTCATAGGGCTAGGGCTGGGTAGTAGAACGGCAACCTTGGAAAAACTAACCATGACAGTGGCTCAGTGATGGCTCAGTGTGGAGGTACACGCATCACAGAACACGTTTGATTACGACTTTTGCTCTAACACCAGTCACACTTTGTGCTCTTAGAGTCTTTATCCTCTAAACAGGTGTCAATTTAGCTTCAGTTAGCTGAAACAATCCTGTGCTGTGGTGTTTGGCATGTTTGGCCTGCTAACCAAGCTATTGTTAGCTTAGCCAAAACACTACAGAACCAAACACCAGAGAACAGGTTCCCTTTAGGCTTTTTGTCATTCCAACACCAGTCACTTGACTTGTGCTCTCAGACATTAGCTTTTATCATCTAGAGTACCGGTTAGTCAGAATCAAATCTGTGAAATGTATTTATTTATTTTATTTTGTGCTGTTTGTTCTCCATAGACAAAATGGAACCAAAGCGACATAAGTACCTTTACATCATTTATGACACTTTTACACCCCTACGCCTCTACATCACTGGTTGTACCATATACCACTGTAATATCTAGAGACAGTTTGAAGGTATGAAACAAGTGGGTCCCGCTCAACCCTACACTGAGCTGCGCAATATATTGTTTGTTCATTTTTACTGCAATATTGCAGTATAAAGACTTTCCATCTCTTGTAACAAACTAAAGCTGCAGTGGTGCCAGTCTCACCTCCGGTCTGTTCTGAGCGAAGATGCCGACGAACTGGTCAGTGGTTTTGGAGTGGCCCTTGTGCAGCAGTGCTGAGCCCAGGTTCGCCGCTCTTTCTGCAACCTGAGAAGAAAACAGCAACACACAGTCCTCAGCAGTTACATTTACAACTTACTCACACCCCAGTTCCTCTGCATGGTACACCATAATCCACTGGCCCTCAGGCTAGCTTATAGGGGCTTTAAAATAAAATATTTAAATTTTGTTACATGCTAGAGGTGGGTAATACGACAACTGTTAACATTATTGTGATAAATTCTGTACCTTTTTTTGTGATAAATTACATCACAAAACACTTTTCTGAACATATCTTGAATATCGATAGCACTTCAACAACACTGACCAACTCTGTATTTAGAGCAGATCAGTATAGAAAACTCTGAATAAAAATAATTGTGCTCATAGTTTTTGGTAGTATTTTTAAATGTGGCTCTGTTGTTTTTTGTTTTTTTTCCTGTTACAACATATCAAACCTTGGAAAAACGAAATGATGATGATACATATCATACCGCTGCAGCAAAAGATCATAATATTTTCTCTGATCTGAAAAGCAACAGAGTTATCTCTATTCACCAAACCCAGCATCACATGGAACTCAACCACAAATAAAGTTTCAGGTAAAAGGCTCTCAGGTCACGTTATGGCGATCTAGGTCACCAGCTAAGAACTGACAGCAAATTCAGACAAGCTTTCATCAGATTTCCTGATTACGTATAAAAGACCAACACAAAATCAAACAAATAAAAAAAAACATCAGATTTAACTCTTAACACTACACTGACCTGCATGAAGGCCCAAACTTCAATTGCTCACTCTCATAACTACATAACTTACATATCAGTCTCATACCACTCACCAAGTGATGTATTCAATGAATAATAATTATTAAGATTAATAACTGAACAACACGCTTGTAGTTTAAGAGGCCCTAAGCCAAAATCTAATGACTGTGGTATTGTAGGGTGCAAAGGAAAGGCAGAAACGAAAGAGACAGAGATAACTGAGTAAAAAAAAAACAGAAAGAGGTGTCGAAAGCATTCCTACCTCTGAATAGGACAGCCACTCATAAGGCTTCTTAGGCTTTCTAGCCCCCACGCAAGGTCCATTATCTAAAAGAAGGAAAAATTGGGAAAAAAAATTACAAATATCCAGGAAAGAATCATTTCATTTGATGTCATTAAGTTGGCTCAAAAAAGACAAATTACAGTTCTTTGTTTTCTTATTATTCTTGTTCTGTGATCAAACATTTGCAACGTTACTCGTCCTCCAGCTTTTGAGCTGCTACTACTTTGCAGGACTGTAGAGCCTATACCCAAATAGTGGCCTGTGCTGTTTTAACCAGTTCGACTTAAGGTATTTATACAGTGTACGTTCAGAAACTACTCCTTCCATAGGAGTGAATGGGGGGAATGCTCAACATCCTGAGTCATTCCACTTATACAATATATAATAGCAAAGGCCTAACAACACCTGAGCAACCATCTGGCACCTTAGCAATGGCCTAGCAACACATTAATAACCACCTGGGATACCATAGCAACAGCTTAGCAACCACCAAGCAACACCTTTACAACAAGCTAGAATGCCACAGCAACCTCATAGCAACACCATAGCAGCTTCCTGGAATTACAATATAAACCAAATTAAATGATCAAAATCAGCAGCAACTGCTTTAAGTTTGTTGTCTGCTTTGTTCAGACTTAAAAAAAAAATAGCTTGCTGAGGCTAACCTAGCCAAGGGCAGGTGTGTTCTCACTGTCACCTCCTCCCTTTGTGCTAAGTGGCCACTTGTGTAGTGTAGATGTCACCAGGTGTGGGCAATATGATAATATTTTACCGTTCGTGTTTACCGATCGTGATAAATGTTGTCACAGTATAAGAACACAATTCGTCCTGTTTAATTTGATTTAGTGCTGTGCAGGGTGTAAAACACTGAATAAAATCACTGTATGTCATCACATTCATAGTTTTTGACATTTTTTTTTTTTAATTGTGGCACTGCTGAGGCTTGTCTGTTCTAAATGATCAAACTTCTCACTTATCAAAAACCTCATCTCTTGTATCATGAAAACATTTTCAAGTATCGTGATATTGTATTTTTGCCACAGCGCCCACCCCTAGGTGTCATGCATTTCCGAAAGTCAAAGTCAAAGCTGGCAAGGGTATGCTGAAAATTTTTTGGAATAGGGCCAGTAAGTTTGATTAACCTTAGGCAGGTTTCATATTCGGCTTTCACATCTGAGTAAGACTTTTTATAAACTACACACACTTTCTAAACAAATGTAGTGCAAAATTCTGACCTGAAAAATATCCATCCATCAAATTTTAACACACTTTTATATTCGTCAAATCCACAAATATTTGATCACTGACAATCATAATTCATTAAATAAAATAGAAACAGAAACATTACTTACTTGATACCCTCATGCCTCTGGTGAAGCACTCGTACATTGTTGTAGCATCATCATAGTAAAAAGATAGAAGCGTGTCATCATCTACCAGTGCTGACCTGCGGGCAAACTCTCCACCCTGTAAAAAACCACATTAATTAAAACAGACTGTTTCCCCCTAAACCAGCCCAGTTCTGTGATTCCAAGAAAACGTGGACTCACCGGCAGCTCCATAGACTGCATGCGCAGGTCGCAGGGCGGTTTCAAGGCTTTAGGTCGTGTGGCGTACCAATAGGTGGTGAAAGCTGCGAAGGCCCCCACGCCCACCAGCGTCCGGGTGGACAGACTGCGAATGTACTGCTGAACATCATCCAATTCAGGCAGACGCAGCTGCTTCAACAGCTCGTGAGCCTGCATGTCTGTCTGCTAATGGATCTGTGAAGAGAGTGCAACATGGTTTAATATTAGGACCACTATTGATGTCAAAATAAGTAACCTAACATACAGATGTTCAGATAAATAGCTTGTATACGTCAGTGCTACTGAAAGTGATTGTCTATCTAAATAGATAATAGTATGTCACACAGTGTCAGAAACCACATAAGCAGGTCTATTTGAGACTAACACCTTAACATGGTTTGTGGCAAGCCTGTGACTAATTAGGCTTAGCTACTTTAATACAAAACTAAAAGAAGCAAACATCAGACACCAAACAACTTGACTGACTGACTATATCTGATGAAGGGAAAAACTGTGTAAAATTTGATTTTTCACCAAACCATTCCTATCCCCAGTCATTAGTGCATGGTAATGATTATAGCTGAATATGAAAATCTGATGTTTTTGTCCTTCGCTCAGCTAGCTAGAAAGGGCTGACTGCACACATCTGCAAAATATCTGACAAACTGCACATGTCATCTGTGACCAAACTGTTTGCATCTGCTCTTTTCCCCATGTTTCTGTGAGATATATAAAACAGATATTATAAATGAATTTACATAAAACACCACAAATAAAAAACAGTAGGCCACAACTGTCAATAACAGAAATATGCTGGAAGCTATTTAAGCTGGGGTCAAATTGCTAACAGAACTAGACCATGCAGCTCGAAGGTTTAATTACACTAAACAGAGCATCTAAGAAACACAGTACTCAATCCCACAATGCTCAGGCCTCCCCGGTGCCATAGCTTTAATACGTTAATAATAGGCCTCATTATCCCCTTTGTTTTTTTGACTTGCAAAACAGAGAACCCTGCCCTGCCCTGAAGTGCCCTGTTTCTGCATGACCTAAACACAGTGATCAGTGTATCCCAAAGCTCAGCAAGCAAGGGTCACATTGCTGATTGAGTTATCAGTTTTCTTATCTGAAGTTATATGTGTAGTTTGTCATATGTGCAGTACGTCTGAGGCGGCCGTTTTTCTTTATCTTTGACCTTTTCACATGAAACAAGCACTGTGCACTGTGTCAAGATTCTCGAGCCTCAGTATGAACATATGAACCAGTGTATTGAATTACTGGAAGTTTCTGAGATGATTTTTTCTTTTGAGATGAGTTCTGTCACAACAAGGTGAAATAACAGGCGCATAGAAATGCATGAAATAATACATTTGTGAAGAAAGTAATGAAAGTGTCATGTGTCATACAGCACTGTTTTCCAATATACTGCTAATACACTTTATGCAAATAAAAAGCACTTTCTAAATTTCTGGCCATGGCTGTAAGGGAAACAGCAGCAATCTCTTGCAACTGTTCAATGTCATAAACCTACAAATTGAGAAACCAGGTAATACTTTCTTTTACAGTGCCTTAAATCATAGGTATTAACCAGGCAAGTGTGAGGTACAAACTCCAGAGACCAGTCTCACAGGGTAAATGGTTGATCGTAACACCACAGCACTGTGTAAAAAGTGTGGGGTAGTCACGACATAAAAAGACTGTACATAAATAACATACGTGTTACACAGTGAGTCCCTATATATTACCTGTAAATGAAACTGAATGTTGGTTGTGTGAGAAAGCAGTGATTCTCACAATGGCTTTACTAGTTTCTTACCATTTACTTCAGAAAAGTCTTTGCATTTTTAGTCTGTCTCGGTATTCATCATCAATTTACCACAAATAGTTACACAGTACTTTGCCGAGTGCACCCCACACTTACTCTTTAATATCTAGGGGTAGTTTGGCATTTCAGTGTAACTTAATTCCTCTCCTGAAAAATGACTGTCTAGTACTTTGGAGTTTGTACCTCACACTTACCTGGTTAATACCTAGAACTAAGGGGACTGAGAAAGATAGTATTACCAACAGGGATGCACCCACATGGGAATTCTGAGTCGATGCCGATATCAGATATTCACAAGAACATGTTGGCCGATGCCAATATCTGATATGTTACATACGCATATCTTTATATCTTGGGCAAAACTGCCTTTTATAAAGGCCACCGGACATGCTGTGTCACGCAGCGTCCGGCAATTCACAGTCACTTTTTTTAAAATTGAGGTATGCGCCAGCGCTCCATCAAGCACAGTTCAAATCCTCTGTGTGTCACAGCACGACCACTCAGCATTTAGCTATTACGACATTAAATTAAGGCCACATCAAGACCGAAAAAATCCACAGTAGATCGCATGTGGCTTGAAACTGACAGAGAGAAAGGCAGCCAGTGTTTTAGGTAAACAGACAGATGCTAAAGGTAAGTTACCTTATCTAACGTTACTATCAAAGCCTTTTTAAACTCATATCTTTCAGGAGTTTGTGAAGTGTGATAAGTGATGCTGAACGCTTTAGTTCATTCAATTTACACAAGTGTGTAAGAGTGTAAAAATTAGCTTTTATTGGCTCTCCCTGTCAGTGCCTCGTGTGCGAGAATGTAATGTAAGAAGCTGGCGAATAAGAAGCCAACTTCAATTTCGTAGTTTTGCTGGTAGTGTTTTTTATAAGGAGGGTTAAGCTATCACAACATCCTACCTAGAGTTTTATGTACTGAGCTACCCACCTGAGTAGGTTTTGCTTGTGTGGGCGGTGCTGTTCCAGCATACAATAAATGTGTCATCAAACATTGGTGTGAAATATCGAGTAAATCTAAGCGTCAGCCCAATGCCGAAGTAAAAAAAGCAAATATCATCCGATATGGATATGATTCCAATATCTTCGTTCATCCCTAATTATCAAGAAATATGCAGTAAACTAAGAGGCAATTTCAGCACTAATTCAGGGCATAAAATGTTCAAAAGTAACAAAATTAATGCTTGTATATATATATAAAAAAAAGAACTCGTTGGAAAACTGAAGATCAGTGATACAAAAGAATAAAAATCACATTCAACCAACTTACTACACATGAATTAAACCTGCTTTTGGAGCGAATTTCTTTATCAACAGTTATTCTCCATTGAAAACATTGAAAGTTTGTTTAGTGTAGAGCACAAATACACCGTATCCCATCATGAAAGTAAATACAACACACCCTTTACATATGCATGGGAATCAGGCCATTGACCATGAATGACAATCGATTTGTGTAATTTGTCTACAGAGGGTGCACAAACTGCTGATAAAGGTACAGATAAGCAGCACCCAAATGCTGTAATTGCTAGAAGTGTAGAAGTATTAGTATTTAGATAACAGACGTATAGTACATAGTATTTTGACCCAAGTTTAAAAAAATGAGCAAATGAAACTTTGAGGTAATGGCCAAAGCATAGAACATAAACACTGTGAAATCATTTATGAGACCGGAAGAGTCGCCATGACCACTAGGTTACACAAAGTCACAGAGCTTGGTGTCACCTGGGAGAGTGTGTGTTGACGGAACACATAAGGTTCAGTGTAAGCCCGTCAGGACACACTGCCCCTTTCACCTTTCACCTACTTCCATTATTATCGCCCGGGAGTAGGACATGTCCCAGCCAGTCATGATGAGGGTGTTGTACAATTATAGAGTAAACTCCAAACACATTCAGTGTACAACAAAAGGTCACTTTTCTAAGCCAATGCTTACGACTTCTCCCTGCAATTAAAATCAATCCAGTGCAATTTCAAACGTTTAAAACTAGATTACAGATCTCTTAAGGGCAAAACTATAGATTTTACCTACATCTTCTTAGTGCAAAACATTAGACCGTACAGCTTTGAAAGGCAAAACTACAGACATTACATATCTTTAGTGCAAAAATATAGACCTTCCTTACATCCTCACACAAAACTATAGACTTTCCTTACATCCTTATACAAAACTGTAGACTTACTTACATCTTTATAAAAAAAGACTTTCCTCACATCTTAATAAAAAAAAGACTTTACTTACATCTTAATACAAAACCACAGCCTTTACATCTTATTACAAAACTACAGATTAAGCCTACATCTCTAACACAACACTACAGACTTTATTTATATATTTTTAATGCAAAACTGAATATGGTATATGAATATGAATACCATCACAGACCAGAGACACAAAGCAGCCATGCTTTAACAAGCTCTCTGATCATGTGAGTGCATCAGCTAGCAGTAGTTCAAAGGAGGAACTGTGCTGAAAAAGTCAGCGGATTCTGTTACCTTTCTCCAAAACACGAGTTTAGTAGGTGAAGGTTCAGAGCTTAACCACTACTATTCGCTAAGACACACTTTTTATCAGACCACTGTGCGTAATTAAGCTGTATGTATAGCATAGTGCTCTGTGATGGACTGGTGCCCTGCCCAGGGTGTTTCCAGCCTTCTGCCCATTGACAGCTAGGATAGGCTCAAGCGCCCCACCCCCCAACTAGGAGGATAATGGCTTAGATAATGTGTATGTGTGTGTAAAATGTAGCTAACGTTATTGTTCATTCTCCTGCAGCCTATGTAAAAATTAAATGCACTGTAATTATTAGCACGAATTGCCAGAATTACTCCAAAACTGTACTGAGGAACAATACTGTTAGTGTATGAGCTTACAGATGTCTACTGTACCTATTAAGTTTGTTTTTTATCTTACACATACTGTTTTTAACAATATTTTGATTATTTTGTAAATCAATACAAAAGGCAAGGTAATTATTGCAATATTGAATTTTAATATCGGCACATGCCTGCACTTTAGTATACAACTACAGACACTACTTTCATCTGTATAATGAAAAACTACAAATGCAACTTACATTTATTTAATGCAAAACTATTGACCTTCCATCTCCTTGGTGCAAAACTACTGACCTTACTTACAGTTCTTCGGTGCAAATCTATAGAGGTTTCTTATACCTCTTTAATGCAAACCTATAAAGGTTACTAACATCTCTTTAGAGCTAATTTTTAGACATTTCTTGAACCTTTTTGGTACAAATCTGTTGGTTACCTACATGTGTTACCTTCTTCTGAAGTGTGCTGGAGTTTTAAATGCCTCCACAACCAAAGTCCTCACTATCCTTAATCACACAGTAAGTGTCCAGTGAGTTTCAGATGACCCTTAATTGCTTTAGGGAATCTTTGCCAGCAAACAGCTCTTCCTACTGAGCACATCTTCAGAAAAATGTAATGAATGGCGTGACCAACACTCTGTTGCCAAAACAGAAACACACACCTTTGGGGTGATTATAGCCTCTCACACACATTCCACACTGCACATACACACACACACACACACACACACACACAAAATAGCAAATACTGTTCACCTGTGTAACGAGGCAAGTCCAAATACAGCCGCTGTGCAAACTGCTCTATCCAGTGACTGGAATATGGAATTCCTGAGGCCCAGCAAGGACAGGTAAGAATAACTACTTTCAGCTAGCATTAACACAGGCTGGGTTTATGTGCAACTACAAAAGCCCCAGCCAATCCGAAGGTCAACCATAGACCGGCCCCTCGTAGCTCCTTATTGGCCAATCTGCCTCTGAAATGTGCCGTGTCAGCCAGTCCCAGGGCAGAGAGCTAAGAGGACAATAGACTTCAAAAGTTCCATGATTAACAATCCTTAGAGAAAACATAATCTACCTACAACAAAACAACAAATTCTGACAAGATATTATGCAAAACAGACACTGATGAGGTTTAGGCTGTTAACTGCCTCATCTTAACCTCAGTCTCCTTGACCATTCCTGACCTCATGCATTCCTTGCCTATTTTAAAAGCATATTCTATTGCCTTGTCAATGAGTCAACATTAATCCACCACAATCACACAGCTCATATTCTCTCACACTGTAGCCAGTTATTACTGAAAATACAGGCACTGTACTTTGAACATCTTTGGTAACTTTAAACTGTGAACAAATCAGTGAAATTCTAACAATTCAGGTAATTATTGACAGTGTTAGTGTTAGGCTCAGCATATGGACCAGGGCTAAGGTAAGAGTTAGATTTAGTTTCAGGTTTAGGGTTAGAGTGAGGGTCAGGTTGAATTCAATAGCCCTTTAATTGTAAGCATGTTAAAGCCAAGGTGAGCATCTACAAAGCATCGACAAACAGACTATGGCTATCAATTATCTAAGCAATCAAATAATCTAGAGATTCTGATTCTGATGATTATTCGAGTAATTAGAGTTTCAAAAAAGGCCATATAATAAAAAATGAACAATAATAAACCACGCTTACACTCCAAAATACTTCACTAGAAAAATATGAATTTGGAACCCTTTAAAATAACTGCATAAAACTTATAAAACAAAAATGCATTTAGATTAGCAAGTCAATCAGGCTCTATTTCTCACTGTGCGACAGAGCAGTAGGAACATCTAGAATATGTATCATCATAAAATCTACCAACTTATCAATAAGGTAAATTGTAATCATTTATTTGACCTAAATCCAGGTTAATCAAGTAATTGTGACCGCCCTAATCTACAGCGGCCCATGCAAAAAAAGCCTTACCAAAACGTACCCAAACACACTCTGTCAGGCTTTACAGTACAGTCAAAAGGCTGAAGTTGTAAATCTATTGATTACCTTGTCTCTGATTGGATTAAAGAAGCAGTGACTGTATCATCTTGTTGACTTCCTCTTTGAATGACACTCCCGCAGGGGTCAGAGAGAGCAGCTGCTCAAGTGGGCACACGCACTCAGTCACATGCTGCTCCAGCTTTTCCAGGGCAAAGGTAATCTGACCAGGCCCAGACCCTCTAAACTTGGTCCGTCAAGGAAGACAGACCAATGGTAGACCCCAAGACCCGATCATCCGATGAAGAAGCAGCCAAGCAGGCGAAGCCCCCCACCCCCAACAACCCCCCCCGCAACAACCAGGCCTGGCCTGCTATTTAAAACTAGTGGCACGCTGAACGGAAAACACGATGACGTGGAGAAACACTCCAGCTGCTGCTTCAGACACGTTGCACATCTAGCAGAGGTACACATACTCACTCTGCAGATACATTATTCAGAAGTCCAGCGTGACTAAGAAATCAGAGCAGGCTGTCTACATGACCACGTGAATAATCAGATACCTGCAGAAATCGGACAATGGTTGGATTATTAAGTGCATGTAAATGTACCCAAGTTTTATTTTCAACATTTCCGAAAATGTCAGAAAACTGTTTCAGCCCTAGTCAGAAACCACATAAACAAGTCAATCTGAGACCACTTAATAACTCACCATGATTTGAGGCAAATGTGAGATCATTCAGGCAGTCAGTTGGCACAACACTAACTGGATACATATATTTAAGTGTTTTCAGCCATTGTGAGACCTGTCCTGAACCAGTAACATGAAACCTTCAAGTGAAACACAAAAAAAAAAATTGACTGCACCTCTAACTGACTATTTAACACAGACCTAAAACCTCTCAGAGTCTGTCCTTTACTGACTTTCTAGTGACCTACTACACACATTCATTTAGAAGGAATGTTTGGAGAGCACATTCCATAGTTCCACAGGCCAGACTACTATGAAGACTTCAGGCACATGGCCTCATGACTCAGTTCGAACACTCGCAATTTGTTGAGACAGTGAACGTACCTTTTATAACCTGGCTAAATGTTTCCACTGGCACAGTTCACAATAACAACAACAAACAATGCATGGAGAGTCAGAAATAAAACTTAAGCAGACCTAAGAATTTTAAAACTCAAACCTGTTTTTCTGGGAAAAACCATTCAGTCACTTGCGAAAAACATCTGGTTTCCTTTTATATATAGAGTAAGTAGGATTGGGTGCTTTCCGCCTGCTTCATACCTTAAAACCGTCTCTCAATACTACTGAAGAATACAGTGAGTGCGTTTAAATGCACTTAATAATCTGATCAGACAGTAATTGGATTTCTGCTTTGCAACCAGCCAATAAACTCACAGAAGAAGACGTGACGTAAACGTAACGTAAAACTCGAACTTCATGCCGCATTTTTTTTTAAACATCGCACCACTTTGAAAATATGAACATGCATCATTTGGAAGACGAAGAATATTTAAACCCTTTATTTCGTGTTTGGTTTCAGGACCTCTCCAAAAGTGTTTTGCTGCCATCTCGCGACATCCACCGTCTGTTCTGTGCAGACTGAGAAATCCAATAGAAATTGGAGTACGAGTATACATACACTGAGAAATCTGATTACAGAGCTAAAATCAAGCCACTTTATTGGATTTCTTAATCAGATTTCTAGATCAGAGTATGGTGTCTAATCGGATAACTGCAGAAATCTGCTTTTTTTGTAGCTTTTGTGCTCATCCTGGATTATTTTTAAAATCAAAAGTTTAGTTCACTTACATGGCCAGCGAATAAGCAAACGCTTTCCAAGCTGTCATTCAATCAATGTCAAACCGTCTATCCAACAACTGCTAAATGTTAAACAGCGCTGCTAACTAGGAGCGTTAGCTCTGGTTAACTAAAGCACCAACACAAGCTCGGCTGATAATAATTCAAATCTGAAATGACAGAAAGATGAAATGAAACCTGTTCTGTGGCGATTGCATCTGTAGCTTGATCGGCTAACTTCGCATTAGGTTAGCATGCAGGCTACAGACAAACAGCGCCACACAGCACACAGCTACAGGTTTGATTCTGACTAACTGCTGCTCTACTGAAACAGGTGTAGATGGTAAAATAATGTCTGAGAGAGGGAAATTCGAGTGAAAGGTGCTGGAGCGACAGAAACCCCTATCTGTACTGAGGGGTTTGGAATTGTAGCATTTTGGCCAAGCTAACAATAGCTTTGTTAGCTGACATAATGTACCACATGGCACAGGGTTGGTTCCAGCTATTTAATGCTAAAATCAGAGCTTTATGAGGAGCCTGGCCACTTCCTATTTCCCCCATTATATCAAAAACAGGACTGCAAAACAGCAAAGGGGGCCTGCGAGTGAGTCCTCAATGAATGGGTGGTGAATGGAGCTAAACGGCAAAAGAAAAAGGGTAAAATAGTTTAAGCATTTATAAACTATGATTTTACTCAAATGCTCCATAGCAACCCATTCATTTTGGACTCACTCGGGAGCGCCCTCTATCATTTGAACACCCGGAAGACATTACAAAGTGGTAATTCTTCTTTCTACAAGTTCTCTGATAAAATTACACCTGTTTAGAGGATATTTGTCGTGGACTGACCGGTGCTAGAGCTGAAACTGAATAGGTTCCATGGTGTGTGTAGCTCTTAGCCATTGCTGAGCCATAATCATGCATAGGTTTTTGAGGTTTCTCCCTGGCTATACTTTTCTTCCTCTTTCTATCAGTGCCACATATCAGTGAGCTCCCAAGCTACCACTTGCCGAGCCCCCCTCTAAAATATAAATGAGTGTAATGTGTTTATTTGGCTGTTCAGACGTGAAAAAATTTGACACATTATTTCAAAACAATGCCATCATTTTTAGCTACTGGCATCATTTTTAAATACTAAGGTATATAATATCACCATTATACCATTTAATCCTAAGAGTCAAAGTGAAAAAAAAAATTATATTTATCGTCATCATGAATTACGTTACATTACAAAATGTTTTTTGGAGCATATTATGGATACTTAGGACTTAGGACACTGAACAACTGCATATTTAACTACAAAGAGAGCATAATAAGGCATGTTGAAGTGGATTTAATGTAGTGCAGTATGTAAAAATGTTGAATAAAAATCAGTGTATTCACAGTTTTGGATAGTACTTTTAAATGTTGGCAATATTGGTTTGCCTAGTTTTTTGTCTTTTTCAACTTTTCAAACAAAAAAAAGATGAAATATTGTGTATAGATATATACGTGCATCAAGAAAATGTCCTGTAGTGTCTTGATATTATCGCTATATCGCCCACCCATAATAGAACGTGAATGATCTAATCAAAACTCACTGACAAACTCCTTCATAACAGATGTTTTGGAATGTCTAAATCGACTGCAATAACGTTCAACAAAGCCCACATTCACTTTGGGTTAAAATAAAACCCTTATCAAATGCAAAAAAACTGGCCGTGTTGTGTCGTCGTTATATTATTGTGTATGATTTCATGATACAGAGAATCATATCCTAAAGAGCTGAATCGAGTTGTGATGATGTCAGAGACTTTCACTGCTAAACAATGACACGAGACAGTTAAACTTTTTATCTTCTGTGTCTGTTTTAAGACAACAGACCAGATGTCTTGCCATGTTTTACTCACTTACAGGATAAATAAAGCTCTCCAAACAAAGATTACCAAATGGGCTATGAGTCATCACAGCCCTCAGGCACTGTTAACCGCGTCCTCTACGATGTCCTCTCAGAACGAAAGCAAAACAGTACGGTAGCCTGTGAGGGACATCTGCACAGCTTCAGGCTCACCAACAGGGCTGCATGTTGACATAAAAGTAGGATAACTTTCCAGGCCACTCTTCTTAGAATAAAAAGGCTTCTTTATGATGTGACAAAAGGCCTCTGATGTGTTTTAGCATGAGAAACAGCTGTTCATTTATTTAACCTTTATATTTCCTAAAAAAAAAAGTGCCAGTGTCATTTTTTTCAAGAAGGCACTGCCATCAGACCACCCAGCAAGTGGGCTACTGTTGGCCTCTGATAAAGATGGCAGCAAGTTACAGATAAACGGCTCTATTCAGCCACGGCGCTGGCCCACACTGGCCCGACTGTACAACACAGCCACACATGCAAAACTGCAAGGGTCATACAATGTGTCTTCTGTTGGAACACAATACCCAAAAAGGAGCACAGCTGCTCCAGGGCCTGAACTGTGCTCACTCACAGTCAGAGAGCACACATACACCAAAATGTGTACTTCACTGGGCACGCTGTTGTCATTTGAAAGCCTCTGTTGACACTGTGCTCCAAAACTGGCATCGCTGGTTATGGTTTGTTGCCTAAACAGGGATCATTGGATGAAACGTGACCTTAGAAAACCCTTTCTATGAAGATGTCATGGAAACAAAAAGAAAATTCAACCGCTCAGGGTCCTACCTACATTTAACTCACACACAGAAACACTGACCTTTCACCTCATTCCATGCAGGCCAGGGCAGGTAACAGGGAGGCCAGGCCAACTACAAACACCAAGAGAGAGACTGAAAGGTCAGTCTATAATTAGGGCTCACAAAGCCTCATCAGACATATGATGCATTTCCTCAATTGTAAACTAGAATTTCAAAAGACTGAATTGACCAACAAGCTGATGCAAGCAATGCCCCAAAACCACATTCAAACACAGATCAAACTTCTTCTTCCATTGCCAGGCAGTAATTACCCATAAGAAAACATTCTGAGCGGATTCTTTATGCGAAGAGAGGAACACAGTGTGCAGGCAGCCTTTGGCACCACCCTAACAAAAGCATCCTCCTCACATGCTTTAAAGGAGAATTCCACCATTTCATTAGTTTGGTTTTTGTCATTTTTGCATGGTTAAAATAGTAATTCAGAGAGGTTTGATGTGAAAGGCTCCGTTCTAGACAAACTTGCTGGGTCAGAACTGTTCACAGTGGTAGTGATGGTAACATTGAAATTCTGAGTTAAGCGGTTCGGCCTAAAAGCCATTCATGGTAAAGAGGCACATGCAGGCTGCATTACAGCAAAACAGTCCCCAAAAGAATACTCACAATAAAAGTGTTGGTTCTTTGGTCATTTTGGATAGTAAATAAAATGGCTGTATTTGTGTTCTAGACATTGGGACCCCTGGGTTCTATCACCACCACGGTAAAGAAAATCTGAGTTGGTAAGTTTCTCTACAACGAA